AGTGACGTCAAGGTTTTTGCTGCATCCAAGAGGGTGTTGTTTCTTCGCTGGCGGCGTCTGCGGCAAACATTTCTTCCAGCTCTTTGGCTGCGGTTTTTGCCAGGTCCTGCATTTTTTCATTGTCGTTGTGCAGGTGTTGATGTGCATGCAGACGCTCTACGTCTTTGGCCTCGAAGGCTTCAACCGATTGCTGGGCTCGTGCAGCGCTGTAACCTAAACCTGTCAACACAGCCTCGGTCATACTTAAAGCTGAATAAAAGGTATCGCGGCGGATGATTTCGATACCCAGATCCATAAGCTGATAGGCGTGTTTACGATTGTGCGCTCGGGCGTAAATTTTCAGATGCGGAAAGTGTTTTGAAACAATTGCGGCGGTTTGTAGAGACGCCTGGGCCTCGTCAATTGCCAGAACAAACAACGAAGCATTTTCTGCACCCGCGGCTTCCAGCAGATCTAATCTGGAGGCGTCGCCATAGTAAATTTTGTTGCCGTACTGTTTTACAAAATCCACCTGCTCCTGGCTGGCATCCAGTGCGGTAAACGGAATTTTCTTAGCACTGAGCACCCGTGCAATAATCTGTCCGAAGCGACCGAACCCGGCAATAATGACCCTGGGTTCATCGTCATCGGGTACTTCGTAAGGTTGGTCGGTTGAGCGTTGGCTAGACAGCTTGTCCTCTAAAAACATAAGAAGTGGCGTGGTTAACATAGACAGAGAAACCACCACGATCCACAACTCTGCTGTGCTGCTGGGTAACACCGATGTCGTTACAGCAACACCAAAAATGACAAATGCAAATTCTCCTCCCTGGGATAACACCCACGCCAATCGCCTGGCTGAGGTGTTTTCCAGGCCTTGCCATTTACCCAGTGTATACAGTACCAGCGACTTGATGCTCACCAGCACGATCACCATCCCGACAATGCTGAAGGGTTTTTCAGCGATCAGGCCAAGATTCATCGACATGCCAACCGCTATGAAAAACAAGCCGAGTAACAAGCCTTTGAACGGTTCAATGTCCGCCTCTAACTGATGTCTGAATTCTGTGTCTGCAAGTAATACACCTGCCAGAAAAGCGCCAAGGGCCATGGATAAACCGGCATGCTCCAACAGACTGGCTGTGCCAAGAACCGTCAGCAGTGCGGTAGCCGTGAGAATTTCGCGTACCCGACTGCGGGCAACAATCTTCAGCAGGTTTTTCAGTACCCAGCCACCCAGGAAAACAACAGCAACAACGGTGCCCGCTGCGATGGCTACCGCCTGCCATTGGAAGTCCTGGGATGATGCGCCACCAAGCAAAGGTACCAGCGCCAGTAGAGGAACCACAGCAAGATCCTGAAACAACAGCGTTGCAAATGCAGAGCGACCATGGCGTCGGGTGAGCTCGCCGCGCTCTGCAAGCAGCTGTAGTGCAAATGCAGTGGAAGAAAGGGCCAGTACCAGACCGATGACTAGCGCGATCTGCAGCGGGTTACCTAACAGGTAGGCAAAGGTACCAATCAGAATGGCGGACAGGAACAGCTGAGCGCTGCCAAAACCGAAAATGGAGCGTCGCAGCGCCCACAAGCGTGACGGCTTCAGCTCCAGGCCGATGATAAACAGCAACATCACCACTCCGAGCTCAGCGAAATGCAGGATGTCATCAACGTCGTCGATCAGGCCAAGGCCCCATGGACCGATGAGTGCGCCGGCTGCAAGGTATCCCAGTACCGAGCCGAGCCCGAGCATTTTGAAGATAGGCACGGCGATAACCGCGCCTGTCAGTAAGACGATGACATCCAGATTCACTTAGAGGGTGCCCGCCATTAGAAAATTTGCCACTGCCTTCCGCTCCCGCGGTTGTTGGTCCCGCTGCGCAAGTTCAGCCGCCAACTGCGGGTTATTTCCTGCATAGCCTATAGCCAACGCGGTAACCGGGAGGATTTCTGAGGGCAGGCTGAAGGCGTTTGTCGCCTTTTCGGGTTCGATACCAATCATCTGGTGCACGCTGATCCCTCGCGCGGTAGCTTCGAATGTGAGGTTAGCAGATGCCGCGCCCAGATCGTGCATAGCCGCCTTGTTTTCCTTGCCGTTGTGTTCGAAAACGCTGTTTGTCAGTCCCAGCGCCAGAACTGGCGCGTGCTGCGCCCAACCCTGGTTGCCTTCAACCAGCACGTCATGAATTTGCTGCCATACAGCTGGCGACCGGGATTTCACGCCGACGATGTAGCGCCAGGGTTGGGCGTTATAAGAGGACATGGTCCAGCGTGCCGCTTCAAACAGAGCCTGCAGGTCCTGTTCACCGACATCTTTGCCCGGATCAAAGGTGTAAGGGCTTCTGCGCTGAGCGAGCAGGGATTCGATTGCGACTGCAGTATTCGCTGCATTGGTGTTGTCTGTCATTTTCAATCTCCTTAAGTTCAAATTTATGGGGTCATATCAAAAAGTAGAATGTCAGCTGCTTCGCTGCTCAGGTTCACCCGCACAGCTGATGCGCTGGTGTTTTTGAACGCAAAACCATCACCACTGGACAGGCCTTCATCATTAACGGCGACATCTCCGTGTACCACCTGCAGCCACATCTTGCGGCCAGGCTCTATTTCGTGCGCCACGTGGACGTTGTTACTCAGCGTTGAGAGATAAAGGTCAACATCCTGATGAATGGTAACGGATGCATTGCGACCGTCGCGTGAACCTGCCAGAACCAGGCGATTGTCTTTAGGTATATCGGCAAAAGATTTCTGCTCATACCCAGGCGCCAGGCCCTGCTTTTCGGGCAGGATCCAGATCTGCAGGAAGTGCAGTGGGTCAGTTGTCGACACATTAAATTCACTGTGGCGTACGCCAGTACCGGCGGTCATGCGCTGTACTTCTCCGGCTTTGATCTCTGAACCTGTGCCAAGGCTGTCCTTGTGTGCCATGGTGCCTGATATCACATACGAGATAATTTCCATATCCTGATGTCCGTGCGTATCAAAACCTCGGCCCGCAGCGACATGATCTTCATTGATCACGCGTAGCGGGCCAAATCCCATATGGTCCTGATCAAAGTAGCTGCCAAAAGAAAACGTATGGCGACTGTTAAGCCAACCAAAGTCGGCTTGTCCTCGTTGTTGCGCTTTGCGGATCTGCTGCATGGCTAACTCCCTGTGAAGGCTGTGCTTATGTGTTGCTTGGTGCGTATTGTGACTGTTGCCGTTAAGAAGACAATTAGTCTAAAAGGATGCGTTGCGTATCCTATGAAGCGACAATACACTGCAGCTATGGATAAGTTGGAAGCACTGAAATCGTTTGTTCAGGTGGTGGAATCTGCAGGGTTTGCCGCCGCGGGTCGTCAGCTTGGGTTGTCCCGCTCGGTGGTCAACAAGCACGTCCAGCGCCTGGAAGATGAACTGGGTGCGCAACTCCTGCGCCGCAGCACCCGATCAGTCACCCTGACGGGTACGGGTGAAGGATTTTACCGGCGAGCGTTGAGCCTGCTGGCGGACTATGAAGATGCGGTGAACGCGGTGCGCGAGCTGCAGGATGAGCCGACTGGCGACTTGCGTATAAACGCGCCCATGTCCTTTGGTACGTTACATCTGTCGACGCTGGTGGCGGATTTCTGTGCTGCGAATCCCCACCTGCGGGTTGAGCTGGTGTTGAACGACCGCTTTGTTGATCCACTTGAAGAAGGTTTTGATATCACCCTGCGTATCGGTGAAGTACCGGTATCGACCAGCCTGGTGGTGCAGGAAATTGCCCCTTCCAATATGGTCGTCTGTGCTTCTCCAACCTATCTGCAAACCCACGCTGAACCCGCTACGCTGCAGGATCTGAAGCGACACCGATGCCTGCATTATGGTTATCAGGCTTCCGGTTCAAACTGGCGTTTACAGGTGGCCGGCAGGATACAGGCGGTGCCGATTAACTGTGTGATGTGGTCAAACAACGGTCAGGTTCTGCGAGATGCGGCGATAGCGGGTAACGGAATAGTGCTATTGCCGACATTTATTGTGGGTGACGCGTTACAGAATGGGCAGCTGCGTACGGTGCTGGTAGATACGCCGCCGGTTCCAACAAGTCTGCTTGCGCTTTATCCCAGGCATAGGCACCTCTCAACCAAGGTCAGGCTCTTTGTGCAGGCCTTGAGTGCGCGTTTTAATGAGCGGCCGTACTGGGATCTTGTGAGCTAGCGTGGTCTCAGCCGCTTTGCTGATCTGTTGCGAGGCACACGCCATCGCCAACACGGATCAGTCCGTCACTAAGTATTTTAGCGTTGATGCCGCCATGCCCCCGCATCGCGTTATACCCGCCAGGTCCAAGAGCCAGCTCCATTTTTGAACAGGGATGGCATAGCCCCGTGAACACCATCCGCACGTCGCCTACCAAAAATTCTTTGTCTTTCAGAGCCAGCAGGTTGATGCCGCGGACAAGAATATTGCGACGTAATGTGGTTGCCTGAAGGTGAGGAGTTTTTAGCATAGAGCGAAGTGCATCCAGATGTTCAGCCTGGATCAGTGTCACCTGACGTTTGCCGCCTGTACTTTTATAGCGATCGCCTTCAAGCCCTTGACCTGCGATAGCCGTCGCCATTTTGACTGTGTGCATCTGTTCATTCTTTGCCGGTCTTAAACCTATCCATTCAACTTGTCCCTGTTGTGGCAGGACGTTGATCAACTCGTTAATGGTCAGCATCTATCTCAGCCTCGATCCCTGGTTCAGGTGTAGCCTTGGTGCCTAGGCGGCGGTGTTCAATTACATGCATGACGGCATCTGCTGCTGTCTTAAGGGCACCGAATATCACCAGGCCTGCGCCTGCACTGCCTGTAGCACCACCGAAGATTATCGTTAGATGCATGGGCAGGATTCTAAGGTAGGGTGTGAACATCAAGGTTCCGATGTTGGGTGTGCCTTGTTCATCCATCTGTCGATGATAGCGATATGAAAAAGCGTGGTTGACGGCAAAGCCCAATGTGCACGCGACAAATCCTGGATCCAGCAATATATCCAGCGGCAGATCCTGCAGGATGAAAATCAGGTAAACCGCATGAAAGCCGCCATAGTGAATGCAGAAGAAAAAAGCAGTTTTGCGCTTGGTGGCAGCATTGGGTTTGACGCTGCGACCGTTCATGCGAAACCCTTCAGTCGAATAATTACCCAGTCTGCTGATACGCAAAACGTAACTTGCGCCGATGATCAGGCTTTGTGCCCAGTAGATCAGCATCAGTTCGGCAAGGCTCCAGCCCTGCCAGATGGCTGTAGCTAACGCGATGATGTTGATGGCCAGCAACATCCAGACTGAGCCATCATTGAATGAAGCCGGAGAGGGGTTATTTCTGCTCGTGGAGTACAAATTGAGGTCCTGAGCCGCTCAGGCCGGCTTTGTCTTTAGGGTTGTATAACGCACATTTTTCCAGGGATAAACATCCGCAGCCGATACATCCGTCCAAGCGATCACGCATGCGGGTCAGCATACCGATGCGTGTCTCCAGGTCGGCTCTGAAAGTTCTGCTGATTCTGGCCCAGTCTTTCTGGTTGGGCGTACGGTTGTTGGGCAGCGTGTGCAGCGCCTGGCGGATCTGATCAATCGAAAATCCAAGTTGTTGGGCGATTTGCACAAAAGACAGACGGCGTATGTCTGAACGCAGAAAGCGTCGTTGTCCACCTGAGTTGCGAGACGGAGTGACCAGGCCCTGTGTCTCGTAAAATCGGATCGCAGATATGCTCAAGCCGGTGCGCTCGGCTATCGCGCCAATGGTAATACGTGTTTCTGCCATGTGCAGATCCTGACGCAAAAAAAGCTTGACCTCAAGTTAAGTTAAGGTTTTAGGCTATGCCCCAGTCAATGAAGAACAGAGGTGCGATATGCAACAAGCTAGTTTAGAACATGTGAATATTACGGTGAGTGAGCCTGAAAAAACGGCAGCGCTGATGTGTGACCTGTTTGATTGGCGGATACGCTGGCAGGGTCCTGCAAAGCTGGGTGGACACACTGTGCACGTGGGTAGTGATGATCATTATCTTGCTGTTTACAGCCGCGGCGGACGCTCGGCAACCTCCGGCCAGCAGGAAGCATCATCTTCTGCGACTTCAGGCGGCCTGAACCATGTCGGAATTGTGGTGGAAGATCTGGACCTGATCGAAAAACGTGTTATTGCTGCAGGCTTTACACCCTACAACCACGGTGACTATGAGCCGGGAAGGCGGTTCTATTTCAATGATCACGACGATATTGAGTATGAAGTGGTCTGTTATGTCTGATAAATGCGCGCCATTGCCCTGTCGGCAATGGCGCGTACGTGCTCAGGCTTTATTGCTTAGCCGCGCATAGGATTGATTGGCGGCCAGTGTTCTTTGCTGGCTTCGATCTCTTTACCGATTTCTGCCACACCCCAGATACCTTCTGACAGATCGCGTTTTGCGATCGGTGTCAGCTGCCAGGACAATAGCTGAACGCTGTTGCCGCCCACCAGGAACTGGCGACCGGTGATGTCTTTGGCATCGTCAGTGCAGAGATAAACAATCGGCGGTGAAACAGCTTCCGGTGGGAAGTTGTCCTGCATGGCTTCCGGCAGTATGTCTTCGGTCATGCGCGATGTGGCTGTGGGTGCCAGCACATTCACGGTAATGCCATACTTCATGCCTTCCAGCCACAAGCAGCGCATGAAACCGGCAATACCCGCTTTGGCGGCGCCGTAGTTGGTCTGGCCGAAGTTGCCCAGCAGTCCCGAAGTGGAGCTGGTCATGATGATGCGGCCGCCGTTGCCTTGTTCCATCATCTTGTCATAGGCCACTTTGGTGGTCAGATAGGTGCCGCGCAGGTGAACGTCAATGACGGCGTCCCACATGCTGTCGTCCATATTCTTGAACGACTTGTCACGCAGAATACCTGCATTGGCGATGAGGATGTCAATTTTGCCGAAGTTATCGACACAGGATTGAACCATGGCTTCAGCGTCTTCCCGGCTGGTGACCGAGCCATAGTTTGCTGCCGCTTTACCGCCGGCTGCTTTAATTTCGTCCACCACCTGATCCGCCATAGACGTGCTGGCACCGGTGCCATCCCGGGCACCACCCAGGTCATTCACAATGACGCTGGCGCCTTCGTGAGCCAGTAAAAGAGCATGCGCACGTCCCAGTCCGCCCCCTGCACCCGTAACCAGTGCAACTTTGCCGTCAAGCATTCCCATACTAAAACTCCTTCCAATGTGCCCAGTAACTTCCAGGGCGTTAACAGATTATCGGTCACGGTGGTCAAGACCCCATCGGCCAATGGTTCCCCCGTCTTGCTTCTGCAGTTATGCTGTTGTTGCAGACCAACAGCGCCGCAGCAGAACAGACCATTTTAGCAGCTACCGCTTTGGCACGTACATTGTTAACGCACCCGGTGTCAGGAGAGATCAATGACCGACAAGCTTCTCGATTTTACAGGCCAGGTGGCTCTGGTTACCGGCGGCAGTCGGGGTTTAGGGCGTCAGATGGCGTTGGCGCTGGCGGAGCGTGGTGCAGACGTCATTATTACCAGCCGCAAAGCAGACGCGTGTGAAAGCGTCGCTGCCGAAATTGAAAAACTGGGCCGACAGGCGATGGCTTTTGGTTGCCATGTGGGTCACTGGGACGAAGTTGATGCTTTGGTCGATGCGGCGTATGAACGTTTCGGGCGGGTCGATATTCTCATTAACAACGCGGGTATGTCTCCTCTGTATGGCAAGTTGAGCGATATCAGCGAAGAGCTGTTTGATAAAGTTATCGGTGTGAATCTCAAAGGCCCGTTCCGATTGATGGCATCCGTGGGTGAGAAGATGGCGGCGGGTGAAGGCGGCAGCATCATCAACATCAGCAGCACAGCTTCGCTCAACCCGTCACCCGGTTCAGAACCCTATGGTGCGGCGAAGTCCGGTTTAAACGCGCTGACACGGTCCTTTGCGTTTGCTTACGGACCCAAAGTGCGGGTCAACTGCATTGTGGCCGGCCCCTTTTTAACCGACATCTCAAAAGCCTGGGACATGGCGGCATTTGAAAAAAACGCGCAAGCCAACCTGGCTCTGCAGCGTGGTGGTGAACCCGAAGAAATTGTGGGCGCAGCGCTTTATCTGGCCAGTCCTTCCAGTTCTTTTACCACCGGCACTACGATCAGGGTAGATGGCGGCACCGCCTGACAAACCTGCTGCACCTGACAATGGTGAGCAGCCGCCAGAGGATCTTGACCTCTCTCTGGAAGGTGTACTTGACCTGTTAGCTAACGAGATTGAACGTTTGCAGCTCTCGCTTGATACCTATCGCCTGAGTGACCATCCGAGTAAGCAGGCACTTATCCGCTGGCACGTACAGCAGATAGATGCCCGCCACGATCGCCTTGATGAAATAAAACAGATGATTCTTAACCGTAACAATGATGCTGTTCACTAGCCGCTGTTGTTAAAGGTCGAAGAGAGTGTTGCAAAGACCTGTCGATCAGCTGAATCTGCGCGCCAACGCCTTGAGCAGACGCGCGCGCATATCGGTGTCAAACGTTTCTCCATAGACCTCGGCCAGTGTTGCCAGTCCACCGGGGTTGGCGACATTCACTTCCATCAGATATCCACCCACCGTATCGATAGAGGCAAACCCAACGTGAGCATCAATTAACTGCTGGTGAACACTATCAATCAAGGTCTGGGTAGGCTGATCTACCGCCACGGGCTTGGCCTCACCTTGTTGGGCAAGATTTGCGCGAAGCGCTTCAGTCGGCACACGCAAATAGCTGCCGAGAATTTCATCTCCGCATATCAACGTGCGTGTTTCGCCGCATCTGATGTCGGGAATGAAACGCTGCAGGACCCAATAGCCGGGGTGAGTACCTAAGATTCTGTTGATGTCAGCTGCAGAATCTATCTGTTGTACATGTTCACCAAAACTGCCAGCTGAAGGTTTCAATACCCATTCACCGCCGTTGGCCTGCATGAATGTGATGAGCTGCTCCGGCCGGTTGCTGATCATGGATGCGGGTGCAAATGCCAGCCAGGCACCTTTGCCGTGTGCCCAGGTGTAGGTGCTGGGGTGGTTGATCAGTTTTTTGCTGTCGAGCAGATGCAACATCTGTAATCGATCCGCGAAGCTCTGTCGTGGCCCGAACCCCAGTGGCCAGATCAGATTGAATTGATTTGCCAGGTGCGTGCCAAGATAGACATCAGCGTTAGTCATAGACATCTGTTCGTGATCACACATCATCACATCCCAACCGCCAGCGCTGAGTATTTCGGGTAACCTGACCGGGTTATCGTTGCCGCTGTTCAGCGGGGAAATCAAAAATGCTGCAGTTAGTTTCATGGTGCCAGTTTACGCCACGCGACCCTGATCTCCCAAAACTGGCCGTTCGCCTTTTTGCCGCTGAGCTATTAAAATTGGTACCCGTTTTGACAGTGAGATGACAGTGAGCACGCAGAATCTGCCGGATTACACGATGCCGCCCCAACAGGTACCTTTGTACGAGCCTGAAACCCTTGACGATAGATCACGGAATGCCCTGAAAGAACGTATCGCTGAAGGTATAGAAGCCATGGGTGCGGTGCTCATTGCACATTACTATGTGGACGGCGATGTGCAGGATCTTGCTGAAGCCACAGGTGGGTTTGTCTCTGATTCGCTGGAAATGGCGCGCTATGGACGTGATCACGATGCGGCCAATGTGATTGTCGCTGGGGTTCGCTTCATGGGCGAAACCGCAAAGATTCTTTCGCCGGAAAAGAACGTGTTTATGCCCACTTTGAAGGCGGAATGTTCTCTTGATCTTGGTTGTCCTCCAGATAAGTTCGAGGCCTTCTGTAAGGAGCATCCAGACCGCACGGTTGTGGTTTATGCCAACACCTCTGCGAAGGTGAAGTCGCTGTCTGATTGGGTGGTGACCAGCAGTTGTGCGCTGGATATCGTTGGTCATCTTCGCGACCGCGGGGAAAAAATTCTGTGGGCACCGGATAAATTTCTGGGTGGCTACATTCAAGCGCAGACCAACGCAGATATGCTTCTGTGGAGTGGTGCGTGTGTTGTGCATGAAGAGTTTAAAGCCAAAGCACTGTTGGACCTGAAGAAAGTTTATCCGGATGCAGCGGTGTTAGTGCACCCGGAATCACCTGCTGCGGTTATTGAGTTAGCGGACGTGGTCGGTTCTACCAGTGCCATTGTCAAAGGCGCAACGACGCTGCCTAACGAAACCTTTATCGTCGCAACAGACCGCGGTATTTTTCATAAGCTGCGCCAACTGAATCCTGAGAAACGATTCATTGAGGCGCCCACCGCAGGTGAAGGCGCGACATGCAGAAGCTGTGCCCACTGTCCGTGGATGGCGATGAATGAATTGAAGACCCTGGAGCGTCTGGTAACCGACGAGGTTTATCGGTCGAACTGCGAAGTTCTGGTTGACCCTGAAATTGGCGCCCGCGCTAAAATGCCGTTGGACAGAATGCTGGATTTCCAGCGCCGACATTAGGCGCTTTCAGCTCTGCTGCTGCATCCGGATAGCGGTACGCAGGTCCTGGATCCGCTGGCTGAGTTTGGCCTGCATTTGCGGGTTATCGCGTCGAATCAGACGCTGCGCATATTCAAGATGTTGAATGGCGCGATGATAGGCACCATGCAGGTAAAAGAAGTCTGCCCGCGCCAGGTGTACGCCAGTAATATTGCCTGCCAGCCCAGCGGTTTCGGCAAGCTGATACCACACGTCTACATCATTGGGTCGTGCCTGGGATTGCTGTTCGAGAATCGTTTCTGCCTTTGCGTGTTGACCGGCCTGATTTAAGGCTTTGGCATACAACATGGACAAGGGTGCGTTTTCCGGGTTTAGCACCAGCTGTCGTTCCAACAGTGTCTGCGCCTGCTGGTTGCGGTCGGCTTCAATCAATAATTCAGCATAAGCACTGTTATATAGAATGCTCTGTGGGTTCAGGTTAGTCAGCTGTTCCACCCGCAGCAGGGCTTCATCGTGCTGCCCGTCACGGCTTAACGATAGTGCCAGGCCATAGTTCGCCGCCGCATCGTTGGGGTTGTCGCGCAGGCGGCGCCGGTATTCCGTAATACCCTGGCCGTGGTTTTTCTGAAAGTGGACCACTGCACGAACGCGCATCAGCTGGTAATCCAGAGAATCGCTGTACTCTTTGCGTTCTATGGACATGGCCTGATTGCGGGCGTCGGTAATGCGGGTTTCTGATAATGGGTGGGTCAGTAGAAATTCTGGGGGCTTGCGTGTGAACCGATAAGCCTGCTGCATGCGTTCAAACATGCGCGACATGCCAGCCGGGTCGTGGCCTGCGCGAATAAGCGTATTGAACCCAACCCGATCCGCTTCCTGTTCCCGATCACGACTGTAACGCAGCTGGTTGGCGGCTGATGCGGCCTGGGCGGTGCTCAGCGCAGCGATGGCGGCGTCGCCACCCCCTGCGGCGCCGATAACCAATGCGGCAATGAGGGCGGCCAGTGTGGGTAACGTTTGCGAACGCTGCTCTTCGACCCCGCGGGCGAAATGACGCTGGCTCAAATGTGCCAGCTCGTGCGCCATAACTGAAGAGTATTCGTGTACGTCCTCAGCGGACAGCAACAAACCAAGATTCACGCCTACCACTCCGCCAGGCGCAGCAAAGGCGTTCAATTCCGGATTATCGATGATGACCACGCTCATAATGGCATCACGCAGCTCTGAATGCTGAGCGAGGTTGGTTAACTGACTTGAAACATAATATTTCATCAGCGGATCACTGACGGTCGGCAGGGCCGCGTTGATCTGCTTCAGAAAAGACTCACCAATGCGCCTCTCAAGCTGGGGCGAAATGAGGCTTGATGAGCTGTCACCGAGGCTTGGCAGCTGGCTCGGGCTGGCGTGCACCACTGTCGTCTGCAGGCACAGGGTGACCAGAGCCAAGTTTGCCAGTGTGCGCTGATAAATATTTTTTCTGTTAGCACTCAATCTCATAACAGCTACTATACGCGATTATTAGTTCAGACCAGCGCCTGTTGAGGGGTGGAATGCCGCTTTGCAGCGCTGTCTCATACTTTGGACCGTTATGAATGAAGAAGTTCGCATCCTTGACGTGAAAGGCTTGAATTGCCCTATGCCGCTGCTGAAGGCTAAAAAAGCACTGAATGAAATGGCTGCCCTGGAGCAGCTGCAGGTGTTGGCCACGGACCCAGGCTCGGTGCGGGATTTTGAGGTCTTTTGTCGACAGAGCGGGCATGTGCTTTTGTCGAGTGAAGAAAACAATGGCACCTACACGTACCTTCTGCAGAAAAAACAGTGAAATTTCTTAATGTAATCAGCCGTTGGGTGAATGAGTACTTCTCCAATGAAGAAGCCATTTATCTCATTGCCCTGCTTGGGTTTGTCGTTGTGGTTCTGGCGACCCTGGGGGGTGTACTGGCGCCAGTCTTGATGGGCCTGGTGTGCGCTTTCCTTCTGCAGGGTCTGGTGAATGGACTGCAGCGGATCAAAATTCCGCGCCTGATAGCCGTCTATCTGAGTTTCCTGTTATTTGTGGGATTGATTCTGGCTTTTTTCGTGATTGTTGTGCCGCTGCTGTGGAAGCAGATGCAGGGCCTGATTGGGCTGTTACCTGCGGTTCTCAACCTGTTGCAGGACAGCGTGAGTGAGTTGGCAGCGAGATATCCTCAATATATAACCGAGACTCAGATTTCATCGTTGATTGATCAGGCGGCTGGCGAGTTGGGCAACTTAAGCGCCACGGTTTTTCAAACCGCATTTTCTCAGGTCTTTTCACTGCTTGGACTGGTGCTGTATCTGGTGCTTGTGCCGATTTCGATTTTCTTTTTCCTCAAAGACAAAGATGAACTGCTGGCCTGGCTGCACTCTTTGCTGCCCGCTGACCGTCCTCTGCTGACCTCAGTGGCCAGTGAAATGAATATTCAACTGGGTAACTATGTGCGTGGCAAAGCCATTGAAATTGTCATTGTCGGCGCGGCCACCTTTGTTAGTTTTACGATCCTCGGTGTGAATTACGCGGCGCTTCTGAGTGTGCTGGTGGGTTTGTCGGTATTGATTCCCTTTGTTGGTGCAGCGGTGGTGACACTGCCGGTGTTCATCGTTGGTGTTATTCAGTTTGGCTGGTCCTGGGAACTGGGTACGGTGATGATTGTCTATGGGGTCATTCAGTTTCTGGATGGTAATGTGCTGGTGCCGCTGCTGTTTTCCGAGGTGGTAGATCTGCATCCCATCAGCATTATTGTCGCGGTTCTGGCTTTTGGCGGCATCTGGGGGGTCTGGGGCGTATTTTTTGCAATTCCCCTGGCAACCCTGATCAAAGCGATCTATAAGGCTTGGCCCCGTCGCGCAAGCGACGATCCGGAAGAAAGGCGCGCAAGCGACGATCCGGAAGAAAGGCGCGCAAGCGACGATTCTGGTGAAGGGCGCGCAAGCGACGATTCTGGTCAAGGGCGCGCAAGCGACGATCCGGGCAAAGAACAGCCGGAAATTATCGAAGCGAGTTAGTCTGCGGCAGTTTCCACGCCAGGCGCCCTCGATGGGTGGGTAGAACACCGCGAAGGCGCGCTTGTTCAACCGGGTCTGCGTGCGTACCATTCCGCCTCTATTTTTTGAATTAATAAACAGGTGGGGTTGAAGCCATGTTAAAGGGCAGCATTGTTGCGCTGATTACACCCATGCTGGCCGATGGTGAAGTGGACTGGCCGTCCCTTGACAATCTGATTGAGTGGCATATTGAGAGTGGCACCCACGGCATTGTGCCTATGGGTACAACGGGTGAATCTGCCACCTTGGATACGGTTGAACATCTGCAGGTCATCAAACGCACCATTGAGGTGGTGGCAGGTCGTATTCCCGTGGTCGCCGGCACAGGTAGTAACTCGACAGCAGAAGCTATACACCAGACCCAGGAAGCACAAGCTGCGGGCGCCGACGCCTGTTTATTGGTCTCACCCTATTACAACAAGCCAACTCAGGAAGGCCTTTACCAGCACTACAAAGCAATTTCTGCCGCCACTGACGTACCGCTTGTGCTTTATAATGTACCCCCGCGTACCGCCAGCGATATGTCTGCGGAAACTGTCGCGCGCCTGAGCACGGATAAAAAAATTGTTGGTATAAAAGAAGCGTGCGGTGACGCAAGCCGTGTCGGTGACATCAAAGCCCTGCTTGAAGACATCGGTAACGACGACTTTTTTATCCTCTCAGGAGAAGATGCACAGACTCTGGAAATGCTTGACCTGGGTGCAGTAGGCACAATATCAGTGACCGCAAATGTATGTCCCCGGGAGATGGCTGAGTTTTTGAACACTTATCTAGCTGGTGACAAAGATCGGGCCCGTGAGTTGGATGCCTTGTTACAGCCGATGCACGAAGTTCTGTTTATAGAACCTAATCCTACAGCCAGTAAGTGGGCCTTGCATGAAATGGGTCGGGCCGGACCAGGTATCCGGCTGCCTTTATTACCGTTGTCAGAAAAATATCACGCGCAGGTTCGCGCTCGTCTTGTTGAAATAGGGGCTTTATAAATGGCAACTTGGAAATGCAGCATTCTGATGTTGATCAGCATCGTGCTGGCAGGCTGCAGCTGGTTCGGCGGAGATGACGATGACGAAGGTTTTCTGCGCAATCCTAAAGACGACTATCTGGAAGCCGTGCAGCACAATGAACTTGTTTTGCCCGACGACCTGAAACCGCTTGGCGACACAGATCCGTTTCCAATCCCGCGTACGCCGAAGCAGGTTAACGCAAGATTCTATCCAGACCGCCCACCTCTGCCTGATGCCATCTACGCTAACGATAATCGCGATGAAGTGCGTATACAGCGTTTAGGCGACAGGCGCTGGCTGGTTATTCCCGAGCCACCGACAACCGCCTGGCCGAAGCTGAAACAGTTTATGGCGGAAAATGGTGTTGCGCTGACTTACGATGCGCCCCAGTCCGGGCGATTGAATACGCAGTGGATGCAGATTCAAAATGAAGGCTATCGCGACGTGATCCGGACATTACTCAAGGATGCCAAAGGCGGCGACCCACTGATTACCGGCCAGGATCGGTTTCTGATCAAGGTTGAACAGGGCTTGCGTGCCTTGACGACGGAAGTGCATGTGCGCCATGAAAACGACAGCGTGTCGCTGCCGGTGCGTGATGAAATCATTGTGATCGACGGCTTATCCAGCCATCTGGCAGCTGCAGAAGATGATCTGCTCAATGAAATTGGCGCCTATATTGCAGCTAAAGTCTCCGAACAGACTGTCTCCAAGGTAGCTCTGCAGATCGGCAGCGCGAAGAAAACTGAACTGGCACGCGACGCCAACGGATTTCCCGTTCTGCACCTGTATCTCGACTATGAGCGCGCCTGGGCAACCCTGGGACAGGCGCTGGATAATGCAGATGTCGAAATTCTTAACCTGGATCGGCAAACCGGTCTGTTTGCAGTCAATATTCCCGGCTCGGTGTTCACCGCTGACGATGATGGCCCCGGTTTCCTTTGTCGTCTGACGTTTTCCTGTGATGATGATGAAGCCGTTGACGTACAGATATTGATTGAAGGTGACAATCAGGATTACCGGGTCAGCGTTCTGGAAGCTGAAAGTTCCGCGCCTGCAGATGCCGAACTGGCGCAACAGGTACTGGTTCTGATCCGTGAATTTGCCGCCTGATGGGGCTTGCCTCACTGGGTAGTGGTTCCAAAGGCAATGGCACCGTGGTCGCCTTGGGGAGCAAAGTTTTCCTCATCGATTGCGGTTTCAATTTAAAACAGACCGAGCGCCGTCTGGCGCGTATTGGTCTGTCAGGGGGTGACCTCCACGGTATCCTGATCAGTCATGAGCATTCAGATCACATTGCCGGTGTTGCAGCTCTGGCTCACAAGTATGCTATTCCAGTTTACGCCTCCTACGGGACGCTCAAGCACGACCTGCGCGGCGTTGCCGGCATACCTTTTGACGGTGATCAGCCGTTTGAAATTGATGATGTGACCATCAATCCTGTCTGTGTGCCGCATGATGCCCGGGAGCCGACCCAGTTTGTGCTCAGCGACGGTGTGGAATCCATAGGCGTGCTCTCAGATCTGGGCTGTGTCACCAGCCACGTTGTGGAGCAGTACAAGAACTGTACCCATGCCCTGATCGAAGCCAATCACGACAGTATGATGCTCAGTCGCGGTAGTTATCCCCAGCGTTTGAAGCAACGTGTGGGCGCAGATTATGGACATTTGAACAACGACCAGGCCCATCAATTGCTGCAGCACATCGCCCACCCGGATCTGCATGTTGTTATTGGACACGTCAGTGAACAGAATAACGCCCCTGAAATCCTGCAACGCACGCTGCAACCGCTGCACAACAGTCTGGCTGCTCTGCATTACGCCACTCAGGCGGAGGGCTTTGGCTGGCTCGGCCAACAGCCCATCAAACGGCAAATATCTTTCGGCGAGGTCATGTAAACTAATGGGCCCGTTTGATTAGATCGAAACAGAATAGCTATGGAACCCGCTTCTTTTAATATTTCCCCGGAAACCTTTCAAACTGAAGTCATCGAACGCTCTAACAGCGTTCCGGTATTTGTCCTGTTCTGGGCTGAACAGGTCCCGCCTTCAGTGCAAACCAAACAAACGCTGGAAACTCTGATGGCCCAGTATGGCGGCAAAGCCGTGCTGGCATTATCAGATGTGGCGGTTGACCAGACGCTTGCTCAACATCTGCGGGTACAGGGGCTGCCCAGCTTGCGGATTGTCCAGCAGGGTAAAATTGTTGATCAGATTGATGGTCCGGCAGATGAAGCCCAATTGCGCACTCTGCTCGATACGCTGACACAGTCATCCACAGACATATTGCAGGGTCAGCTGGACCAGGTGCTGGCCAGCGGTGATTACGACACCGCGGTTGCGATGTTGCAGCAGTCAATGAACGAAGAACCCAATAATCAGGGTTTTCGGGTAGAGCTGGCTGATGTCCTGATCCTGAAAGGTGATCTTGATGATGCCCGCACGGTCCTGGCGTCTATTCCTGATGACACGCCAGAGCGTGAGCGCCCGCAGCATCGACTTGAGTTTGTTGAAGAAGCAGCCGGTTATGCAAGCGTTGCAGAAATTGATGAGCAATTGGTCGCTGATCCAGACAATCTGGAGCTGAAATATCAGAAGTGTGTAGGTCTGACGGTCACTCGGGATTATGAAAGTGCGTTGAACCTGGCCATGGACATTTTGCGCAGCGATCGTGAATTTCGTGACGATATCGGGCGTTTGACGATGGTCCGTATCTTCCCACTGTTGGGCAAGGGGTCAGACATTGCGGCAGCGTATCGCCGCAAAATGTTCAACTTTATGCACTAAAACCCGCTTCACGGGTTGCTGTCTCCACCGGCGCACCGTCACTTGTGAAGTACCGCACGTTATAGGATGCAGACGTTGCCTATCCTAGTCGTAACCGAATCGATAATGTGGGTAGTTGCGACATGGATGCGCAGTCGGATCCTTGCCTGGTTCTTGAACTCAATGGCCACCACGCCTCTGTGGCCGCACAGGCTGTGGCGGAAGGCGTCCCTTTTAAGCTGGGCAAAACGCCGAGCTGTGACTTCATTGTTGATCGTGAACTTACCTCCCGCATTCACGCTCGGATAGAGCGTCACCACAAAGATTTCTATCTCATCGATGAAAGTACCAATGGCACCTTCGTACAAACGGAGGATGAACAGGTCACCCTGGTGCATCGCGATCGTATCAAACTCTGGGGTGCAGGCTGGATTTCGCTGGGTGAACCACTACATGTCGGTGCCCCCATTCACTTCAGACAAGATTAACTATGGATTGGTCCAGCGCCAGCGATAGTCACCGTGGAAACCGGCGCGCGAGAAACGAAGATGCCGTTTTTGCGTCTTCCCACCTGGGTCTGTGGGCGGTAGCGGATGGCATGGGTGGGCACAAAGCGGGTGACTATGCCAGCGAGACCATTGCGCAGATGCTGGCGGATCTCGATCTCTCGCAGGATCTCAGTGACTGTGTTGATCTTGTTGAAGACGGCATGTTGGAAGTTAACGATCATCTACGGCGTCATGCACGTACTGAATGTGACGGCAATACAGTGGGCAGTACCGTTGTGGTGTTGATTGTGCGCGGTGAAGTGGGCGTTGCGCTGTGGGCTGGCGATAGTCGTCTGTATCGAATGCGCGGACGCCTGATGAGTCAGATCACTCGTGATCATAACCCCGTTTCAGATTTGTTAGACAGCGGCAGTATTACCGAAGATCAGGCGTTGAATACAGATACGCACATCATCACCCGCGCGGTGGGTGGTCAACGTGATCTGCATCTTGATGTGGCGGTGTTTGACGTTCAACCTGGCGATACGATGCTGCTCTGTACCGATGGGTTGTACCGCGAAATAGAACCCCAATCTATTTATGATGCCCTGCAGCACGATGTGGACAAAGCCGTCACCATACTCATGCGTGATTGTCTGCAGGGGCCTGCCAGGGATAATGTGTCCCTCGTGGTTGCGCGGGCGGAGCACTGATAATGGAAAAAGTCAGTGACAGAAGTGTGAACGATAACAGCGAAACTGATGCCACGCAGCTCCGTGAAGATATGACGGTGATGCGTGATCCCAGTGAAACCACTGCAACCGCAAGTCAGGTCAGATGGCATAGTTCGCCATCGAGTGTGTCGAGTACCTCCGACGAAACACCTAAAGTTCTTAAGCAACGTTTTGTTCTGGAAGAGCTTATCGGTTCCGGTGGTATGGGCAGTGTTTTCCGTGCAAAAGATTTACGTAAGGTGGAAGCGCGTGGTACGCAGCCTTACGTCGCGGTTAAGATCCTGAATAATGACTTTCGGCATCATCCCGAGGCGTTTATTGCGCTGGAGCGGGAAGCATCAAAATCTCAGGGTCTGCGGCACAGCAATATTGTTTCCATCTTCGATTTTGATAAAGACGAAGACGTTCCGTTCATCACCATGGAGCTGCTGCAGGGTGAAGAGCTGGCGGACCTGTTAAAAGCCTACCCTTCGGGCTTGCCCGAAGAGCTGGCCTGGAAAATTATTGAAGGCATGGTGCTTGGTCTGAAACATGCGCACGAAGAGGAAGTGGTGCATGCCGACTTCAAACCCGGCAATATCTTTATCACGCAGAAAAAGGTAGCCAAAATACTGGATTTTGGCATCGCGCGAGCGATGCGAATGAATTCGGGTTCTGAAGATACTGATTTCGATCCCGCACGTCTGGCGGCTTTGACGCCGGCTTACGCAAGCCGCGAAATGTTGAACGGCGACAATCCGGAACCTCGGGATGACATTTTCTCGCTCGGAATTGTCATCTACATGGTTTTAACCGGGCATCATCCTTACGGGCGTGTTCCGGCTAATGAAGCTGCCCGGGAAGGGCTCAAACCGGAACGTATCAAATCTTTATCGCGACGGCGCTGGCGTGTCTTGGAAAAAGCGCTGCAACTTAACCGTCAGGATCGACCTGCGGATGTGCAGGAAGTTTTTGCCGGCCTGTTTGCACCTTCACCGTGGCGCAACTGGTCGCTGATGGCGACAGCAGGACTCGTCACAGCAAGCCTTATTCTTGTTGCTTTGCAGGATTCAGCGTCTATCAACGAGGTGAAAGAAGAGGTTCGCCAGGAAACGCTGGTGGATGCGCAGATGAACCGGATAGAAAAACTGTTAGATGAGCCGGCATACGATACTAACTGGGAACGACAGCTGTTCGCGGAAGTACAGACCCTGCGAGCCCTGAGCCCCGCTATAGCGGATGTACAAGGCTCAACGGATGCTGCCATCCCACATCCACATGATCGGATCAGCGCGCGCATTGCAGAATTGTATTCTGAACATATTCGTAATACCGCAGATCTACCCACCGCGTTTGCTCAATTCGAGGCGGGTCAGCAGTTTGTGGAACTGGCAGAGGTGCGTGCTGATCTGCACGAAAGGCTGCTGAACGAGCTGGATAGGCTTGCAGGCCAGCCGATCAGTGGACAGTGGTTGACCCGCTTTGAAGAATTGATGTCTCAGGTAAATACTTATTTTGCTGATTCGACACTTTTGGTGGTGACGCAGATCGAGTTAGTCGATTACGTCGTGCAGCAGTTGGAGCAGGACCTTATCAGCCGGGATATTCAACTTGCCCAGCAAACCTGGCGCAATGTTGAGAATAAGGTGTTTGATGGCGCTCAATGGCAATCCCTGCAGGATAGTTTCAGTGCGGCATTGACCAGCGCGCAGGCGCAAAAAGAGGCGCAAGTGCAGGTGCAAACCGCACAGCGTTTACAAAAACAGATGTCGGCCTCGCTGGCCGTGAGCTGCCTGCGCATGGATGTTGGTCAGATAGCGGCCCGGCTCGATAGGCTCACTGCAGCTCATCCCGGCCACGCAGCAATGCTGCGCGAACAGATTGGTGCGCGTCTGGGTGAATGTATCACTCGTCTTGGCGCCGTTGACCCGGACCGGGCTTATTCGCTCAAGAAACAGGCGCTGGCGCGCTTCAGTGGTATGCAGCAACTGCAGGATCAGCAGCTGGATCCCTGTTCCCTCCACTATCTGGTGGGTAATGGCAATGCCAGCGGCAGAGGTAGTTTCTGTGCTGACCAGGTCAGTCAGGATCAGCGTGGTCCGCGACTGGTTGTTGTTCCAGGTGATCAGAGCCTGGCTAAATTTGCCATCAGCAAATATGAAATAAGCTGGCGGGATGTGAATCTGTTCTGTGCTGAAACCAAGTTGTGTGTTGCGGCGGCAGAAGAGCACCTGCCCGTTACCGGCATGGCGGTTGATGTCGTTGAAGAATACGCGCAGTGGCTGAGTGATCGCACCGGTTATACGTACAGGCTGCCGACTGCTCACGAGTGGCAACAGGCAGCTCAGGGCGAGCCGGACCCTAACCGTAATTGTCGTATCGACGTTGGTGGTGTGCGACGCGGCGATGCCATGCTTGCATCCGAAAACGGTGCTGCGAACCCCTTAGGTCTTGTGCATGTATTAGGCAATGCGCAGGAACTGGTCAAAGACCAGTCGAGTTATGTGGCGCGTGGAGGTACCTTCAGCGATCCTATAGAACGATGTCAGATTGAAACCCAGCGCGAGATTGCCGCTCAGGGTGATCAGCAGACAGGCTTCCGTCTGGTGCGGGAAGTATCATGAGTTTATTGACCTTATCGCCTGAATCAACTCGTTTGCGACGCGTCGCCAAGGCGCACGCTGCCGGGGAAATTTCCCAGCTTGAATATCGCGAAGCACGCCGCCAGGTGATCAGGAAATTCGCCAGGGTGAATAAGGGGCCATTGGTCCAGGGTGCGGATGATACGGTGCCGCGCTTCGATCTGGAGACCACCTTACGTCGCTCGGAAGGCTTCCCTGAACCTGTGCAGAGTGTGCAACGGCAACCCTGGTTGATGGGGCTGGTTCTGCTGGTGGTGGTGCTGGTCGCCATGGTGCTGCCATTGATGTCTTTCGCGGCCTTAATCCCGCCGGTGAGCGAGCGCGACCCTAATCCTGCTACGGCTCCGACCTACGAAATTGATCTGGTGCGCTGGCAGATACCGGAAGATCTGCAACCGCAGTTCGGCGAACCTGCAGAAGCGTTGCTGGCGGCTGGTCTGCAGACGCTGAAAAACAATGATGCGCCTCTGGCCCACGGTTTCAGCAGCTCTGAACTCACAGAAGTTGCTCGCTTCTTAAATGCTATTGGCGTGCATGATGAAGCGGTATCACTTTCCCGCGGCGACCTGCAGGACCTGAAAGCGCTGGTAGCTGCGCAGAAAAAGAAGCGCGGCGTGTCTCTTCTGCAGCTTGAGCAACTGGCTAAATCTCTACAGGACTGGTTGCGCGAAGAGGGTTTTGTGCTGGCCACGGCTTATATCCCAACACAGGAAGTTGTCGACGCGACGGTCCAGATTGAGGTGGCTTTTGGCCAGCTTTCCAGCATTCGTGTGACCAACGAGGACACGGCTCAATTACACGCAGGGTTCACAGACCTGCTCGGCAAGCGGGTCGAGAAAAAGTCCGTAGAAACCCGCTTGAACATACTCAACCGACAACTGGGTGTGCAGTCTGAAGTGTATTTTCAACCCGGCGCTGAGGTGGGTGAAAGCGAGATGGTGCTGCAGGTCAAACAACACCAGAAATTTGCCGGTTCCATTGGCCTGGATAATTACGGCGTTGAAGATCTCGGCGAGGAACGTCTGTCGCTTACAGGTCGTTGGAATAACCCTCGAGGTGCCGGCGACGTGATGACGGCTAAAGCATTCACAACCGTCGATAACAGTGCCCATCAATTTCTTCAGCTGGGATACGCTGCACCGATATTCGGTGGGCAGTTTGATGCAGCAGCTTACCTGTCGTATGCGGATCTGCAGTTGGATAATGGCAGCGCGCTGGCGGGAGATGGCCTGTTGTTTGATACGTATCTCACCGATACCCGCTTGTTTACCCGCACGCAGCGGCGAGAACTCACTTACAGCGCAGGACTGCACAATTTCAGTTGGGATGGCCTGCTTGATCAGCGCGCTTTGTTTGTCGCCTCAGCGTTGGAAGGTCATCAACTCTGGGATGAGCAGAAGATTGCCGCGCAAGGGTCGCTGCAGGCTCTGGTGGGCAACGTGGACAATACCCGCCCTGGTCAGGATGATTTTTACTGGCGTCTGCGTGGTGATCTGAATGCCTGGATGCCATTACCACTGACGGAACGCTGGTTCGATGAGGGTCAGCAACCCAAATTAGTGCTGGATGTGCAATGGCAATTAAGTCAGACGCAATTGCCGCCCACGCTCAGACTGAATGCTGCCGGACCACATGCCAGCAAAGGTTTCGCTCAAGGTCAGGTGCTCCTGGATCAAGGCCTGTTTGTCAGTTCAGCGCTTCGATTTGATGCGCCTGTCGGCCAATGGTGGACGTTCTGGGATGTGGTTTATGGTGAACAGAAAGGTGGCGCGCAATCCTGGGCACACCTCAGTAGTGCAGGGTTGGGTTGGGAAGGGCAGGTGCTGCAGACCGCCTATGGTGCGCTGTCCAGCCGGCTTACGGTGGCCTATCCACTTTCCCACAAAGGTTCAGATGGAGTTGAAAATGATGGCACACAGTTTTACTGGTCGCTGCGCTTTATATATTAAGCGCGTTACCCTGATTGCGCTGGTGAGTACCTGTCCGCAGGTGCTGGCGGCGTCCGCAGAAGATTTTGAGGGTGAAGTCAGGGATGTCCTAACCTCTGCGGATGCTGCTTGGACACGCAGTCTGTTGCTCCCTGACCCTGAAAACACAGCCTACGACGAGCAGGTTTTTATCGAACTCTCCCCGATTCTGGATTCTCCCGAGGGTGTGAAATTGCCCGAAGATCAGCAGATGCCCGAGTAGCAACTCTTACGGCTCTACAGACGCTAACTGTTATCAGTAGGGGTGCCTGGGCGCGAGAAATGTGACATTTGTGTTGCCGAGGCTAGGCTGGCTTGTGAGTGGCTACTAACCTCCTTGGCTTCAGGCTTATGCACAATTGCCAACAACGCTATTTCGGCCGTCGTATTGAAGCATCTTTCTCATCTACAGTATTACGTCGAAACTATAACTATTTGATTTAATTGATAAAAACAGCCATTTTCCCCTAACACCTCTTTTCTGTGGAAAATCTGCCTTGCTGACTGAATCAGGCCGTTAAAAAAGTTATCCTCAAAGTTATCCACAGGCACACGGCGATTGTGGGCTACGCTAAGCACGCTAGAATAGCGTCGAGTTTTCGTCTAATGGAGCGTCCCCTTGTCTAAAGCAGAACAGGAAGTATTGGATCAGAAGTTGGCCCAATATCGGGAAAAAGGGGTGAGTAAGGTTAAATTAGGCCTGACGGACATTGACGGCGTTATCCGTGGCAAGTACGTGAATATGGATAAGTTCGCCGCGCTCTGCAGAAACAGGGTGGCTTCTGTGATTGTGTGTTCGGTTGGGACGTTGATGACCAGCTTTATGACGCTGGCCGTTATACAGGTTGGCATACCGGCTTTCCTGATACGGGCTTCCGCCTGCTGGTGCATACCGAACGTTGGCTGCCTGATGAATCGGTGCCCTATTTTGTCGCTGAATTTGTGCTACCTGATGGTAATCCCCACCCGATATGCCCCCGCACCTGTCTGCAGCGGGTGTTGGATAGATTTGCCAGGCAGGGTTTGATAGTTCGCTCAGGGTTTGAATACGAGTTTTTTGTCTTCGAAGAAACGCCGCATTCAGTTCGCGAGAAGGGTTATCAGAATCTCAAATCATTAACCCCGGGCAACTTTGGTTATTCTGTGCTGCGCACGTCGGTGGCGTCTGATCTGTTCTCTGGCCTGATGGACTATGCGCTGGCGCTGGATTGCGATCTGGAAGGTTTACACTGTGAAACCGGCCCCGGCGTTTGGGAAGGCGCATTGAAATCCAAGCTCGGTGTGGAAGCTGCGGATCGCGCAAATCTGTTTAAAACGTTCACCAAAGTTTATCTGCAGAAGCGCGGATTGATGGGTACCTTCATGGCCAAGTGGTCGATGGATTATCCCGGCCAGAGTGGCCACTTCCATTTCTCCGTGCAGGATAAGCAGGGCAATAACCCATTTTATGATAGTCATGGGGAAGCAGGTATGTCTGCGTTGCAGTGCCATGCCGTGGCTGGCCTGAAAAAGTATCTGCCTGAACTGCTGGCCCTGATTGCACCCACCATCAACAGCTACACACGGCTGGTAAAAGGCGCCTGGGCGCCCACCGCTGCGACCTGGGGTGTGGAAAACCGCACCTCGGCTGTCCGTGTTATTCCAGCTGGGCCAAAAGCCCAGCGGATAGAGTGTCGGGTGGGTGGCGCAGATGGTAATCCCTACCTGGTGGCCAGTGCGGTGTTGGCTGCCGCGCTGCAGGGTATAGAAGAGAAACTCGAACCTGGTGAACCGGTAACAGGTAATGCCTACGAAATGCAGGACAGTCTGCCAGCTGCCGCACAGTTCCCGAGTAACCTGCGCACCGCCGCGGAGAATCTTGCCGCATCAAAAATTGCGGTTGATCATTTTGGTGAGGTGTTTGTTGAACACTTTGTGATGAGTCGCTTGTGGGAATGCGCGGAATACGATCGCAATATCAACAGCTGGCAGCTTGGCCGCTACTTTGAAATTATTTGAGATCTGAACGTGCGTATTGGAATCCTGCTTACCGACCATGTGCGCACCCAGTTTGTTGCTCAACATGGCGACTATGGGGACATGTTTACGCAGCTGCTCAAGGCGCAGGATCCGGACCTGGATCTCGTTATTTATGATGTGCAGGTGGCCTGCCCCGAGGAGATCACCTGTGATGCCTATCTGATTACCGGTAGCAAAGACAGTGTCTACGACAACCTGCCATGGATAAATGAGCTGGTTGCGTTTCTACGGCGTGTGTTGGCTGCAGATAAAAAGGTTATTGGCATCTGTTTCGGCCATCAGCTGATGGCGCATTTTTTTGGTGGTCGGGTTGCGCCAGGGCCCCAGGGTTGGGCGGTTGGTGTGCACACCAGCCATATCGATAAAGTTGAGCCCTGGATGGGCAACTTGACCCGGTCTGAGGTATCTCTGCTGTCGAGTCATAAAGACCAGGTAGTTGAACTGCCCGAAGAGGCTGATGTTTTTCTGAGCAATGATTTCTGTCCTGTGGCGGGCTTCACCCTGGGCTCCCAGGTACTGAGCCTGCAGGGGCATCCGGAATTTGTCGCGGCGTACGCGTCAGATCTGATGGATATGCGGGCAGACATCATTGGCGACGCGGTCTATCAGGCTGGCAAGCAGAGCCTGGAAATACCCACCCAGACAGGCGAAGTTGCACGTTGGATTCTTAACTTTATTAAGGGAGAGCGGGTTGGGTAAGGCGCCAACACGCTTTGGTCAGTTTCGGCGCCGGGCTGAAAAACTGGTGTCCAACCCGGATCGTGTGCAGGCGCTGTTGAGCGATGCTGATCGCAAACAGGCCAATGCCGGCGGGGAAAAATTCCGCGAAATGCGGGCACAGATTGGGGTTGCCATTGCGCTGATAAAAGCCTGGGTTAGCGGTGATTACCGACAAGTGTCGAACAAAACTATAGTGATCCTGGTGGCAGCCTTGTTGTATTTTGTAATGCCGCTGGACGTGGTGCCGGATTTTCTGTTCGGCTTGGGTCTGCTTGATGATGCTGCCGTTCTGGTCTACGTCTTCTCGCAGTTGCAAACAGAGATAGCAGCCTTCCAGGTCTGGCGGCAACAGCAGGTCGATGAGCAACAATCCGAGGAAGAACGGCCCAGTGAAGAAAGAGGCGATATAACCTGATGGTTTGGACAAGATTTTTCTGCGTGCTGGTGCTGATCTTCTGTACCTCCGCCTGTAGTGTGAAATTTGCTTACAACAACGTCGACAGGCTTGTTAAATGGCAGATGAGTGACTATCTCGATCTCAACAGTGATCAGCGCAAATTGTTAGAAACACAGATTGAAGGATTAATGGCCTGGCATCGGCGAGAACATCTGCCTGAATACGCAATTCTGATGGAGAGTCTGGCCACCCAATGGAGTGACGGGGTTTCTGAGGCGCAGATTCAGTCACTGTTTGAGCAGATGTTTATCTGGGGTGAAGATATTCAGGAACAGGGTATGCCTGCTGCCATTGTAATGATGCAGAGCTTAACGGATGAGCAGGTGGCCGCGTTGCCAGAGCGTTTAGAGAAGAGTAATCAGGAGATCGCGCAGGATGAACTGGACGTTGCGCTTGACCAGGTGCAGGACGCCTGGGCAGAAGATTTTGCAGATGGGTTGGAACGCTTTACCGGGCGGCTGCTTAAAACCCAGCGTGAGTATCTGAGTCGGCGTGCAACGGCTTACCAACCGGAACGGGTGCTTTGGGCAGAATACCGACGTCGTTTCCAGGCGGATTTAATGAAGTTGTTGATGAAGCGGAACGAACCTGAGTTTGATGCAGAATTTCGACGCCTGGCGGCAGCCAGGGAATCCTACTATGGAGAGGAGTTCACCCGTGTGAGTGATGAGAACATTGCTCTGAGTCGCGAAGTTGCCTCGTATGTATTGTCGAACCTGACAGAAAAGCAAAGTGGAAGACTAAAAGATGCTTTGTTGGATCTGGCTCAGGATTTTCAGGAGCTGGCGGCTAAAGCAGAGCCGGCGGATGCCGCCTGAATTATTCGGTGACCCCTCGCCAGTGCCGGGCAACCTTATCGCCAACAATCTCGAAGTAGTGAACTTTAACCTCGGTTCTGGCTAAGTTGACCGCCAGAAGCGGGAACGCGCGCACTTCGGTGGTATGGTCAATGTGGCTGTGATACTGCCATTGCTCGGTATCAGGTGCGGTGCTGACGATGCTGGCTGGGTAGCCAAAGTTTTCAATTAACCACGTGGCGTCCGTGACGCCGGATTGCACGTTTGAGAGCGTGATCTGGTTTGGAAATGAATCTTTCGGCGCGAGCTGGCTGCTGCTGTAACTGACACAGCCGCTGATCAAAGTTGTGCAGAGAAGAATAAAAACACTTTTTGTCAGCAGAGAATAGTGCATGTTACCGCTCCAACTAAACCCGATCTTTCTTCAGTAACGGGCGCTCATCTAATATCATCCACATCACCAGGTAAGTGGCGATGACTATTTTCGGGAAAAACAGTCCCGTTACCAGAACCCCGACCCGCATAAACGCAGGGTCCAGGCGAACGTAGTTTGCCACGCCGGCGCAAACGCCAAAAACCCAGCCGTTGTCCTTGTCGAGGTGAACTCGGCGTCTTATACGATCGACAAACTCATTTGACATTCTGGTCTCCTAATTGATATCGGCAGTGGGTCTGTGCACTTTAATGTCAGCACTCTGTGTGATCAGTGAAAGACGTACACCAGCTGCTGCAGCCATCCCTGGCTGGAGATGTGCGCTGCAGGTGTCAGGCTCTGGGCCTGCAGACCGGGCAGACTCGCCTCTGCCCATATGCCGAAGCCCAGGAAAACGATAATGAGCAGCGCCATCGCCCAGAAGGTGGCCCTTGGGTGAGAGATGCGGGAGAGCCGTATGTTGTTGAATCCCATGATTGCGTCCTGTCGTGTAATCGGCGGCGCTGAGGGTGCAGCGCCGCTCTTAATTTTTTATATCTTTTGCAATTCAATAGTCGTGCCAATGCTGAAAAAGTTTGTCCGGGCGGTAAACCGCGGCTTCCAGTCTGGTCCCCGGCATGAACTTGGATTGTTTCTGGCGAATTCCGCCAATAATTGGTTGTGAAAGTGGCGAAGTCGCCCCTGATAGCGTGCCTGGAATGGGTGCATTGTCAGGCTGACTGTGTACGATAAGGACCTCTGACATACTTTTGAGGGGGTGAGTATGGATTTTCATTTTGCAACGGCGTGGGAGCAGGTAGCGGACCTCTACCCGAGTCGCACCGCCGCAATTTGTGACGATAAGGCGGTGTCCTGGCGCGACTACGAACAACGTGCGGCGAAAATTGCGGGCTTGCTGCAGGCCCATGGCCTGGGTGCTGATTCCAAAGCGGGTCTGTATCTGCACAATTCCAACGAATATCAGGAAGCGCAGTTTGGTCTGTTCAAAATTGGCGCGTGTCCAATCAATGTTAATTATCGCTACAAAGCCGACGAGCTGGTGTATCTGCTGGATAACTCAGACGCTGAAGCGGTGTTTTTTCAGGCCTGTTACGCCATGCGGATCTGGGAAATCAAAGATCGCTTACCGAAGGTGAAACTGTTTGTGCAGGTCAATGACGGTACGGAGGCGCTGCTGGACTTTGCCGTCGACTACGAGCGCAGTCTGCGTGATGCGGAACCAGCGCCGCGGCAGGCGCGTGATCCGGAAGGTGTTTACATGCTGTATACCGGCGGCACCACGGGGATGCCCAAAGGCGTCATGTATCCTGTGGGGCAGTTTGCCGGTTTTTTTATCACCATGGGCGCTACCGGTCGTGGCCTGGAACCCCCGACTTCTATGGCGGAATATGAAGCTTTTCTTGCGTCAATTGAACAGCCGCCCATCAACCTTGTGGGTTGCCCCCTGATGCACGGCACCGGTGCCTGGTTGGGTGGGTTCCTGCCGATGTTGATGGGTGGCACCGTTGTCACCACTTCAAAGTTAGGCCTGGATCCAGATCTGCTCTGGGGTTTAACTGAAAGCCACCATGTGACCGATCTGGTTATTGTGGGTGATGCATTTGCCAAGCCGCTGCTGGCGGCATTGGATGGCGCTGAGCAGCGTGGCACACCCTATGACCTGACCTCTTTGAAACAGATTACATCCAGCGGGGTGATGTGGAGTCATGAGACAAAACAGGGTCTTTTGCGGCATCACGATATGATTCTGGCCGATATCATGGGCTCCTCGGAAGGGGGCATGGGCAGTTCGATCACCACCCGGGAAGCCGCCGCACAAACGGCAAAATTTCAGCTCAATGAAGGGGTCCGAGTTATTACCGACGATGACCGTATCGTGCAGGCGGGATCCGGTGAAATTGGCAAAATTGCAACCTCCGGTTTTGTGCCGTTGGGGTACTACAAAGACCCGGAAAAATCCGCGGCCACCTTTCGTGAGGTGGATGGGGTTCGCTACAGCTTCCCCGGTGACTATGCAACTGTAGAGGATGATGGGTCTATCACCCTGTTAGGGCGAGGTAGCGTGTGTATCAACACGGGTGGAGAAAAGGTCTTTCCGGAAGAGGTAGAGGAGGCGGTAAAACGTCACGGGTCAATATTGGATTCGTTGGTGGTTGGCGTACCAGACGATCGTTTTGGTGAGCGCATCGTTGCGGTTACCTCAACACGTGAAGGTCAGAGCGTCGGCGCGGAAGATCTGATTGCCTACACCAGGGATCATCTGGCAGGTTACAAGGTGCCAAAAGAGGTCTTGTTTGTGGATACGGTCAGACGTGGGCCCAATGGCAAGGCAGATTACAAATGGGCCAAAGCCACCGCTCTGAAAGCTGCAGGATTGTGAGCGTGTCTGAAGGTGATCATACGGATATGACCGACGCCACACCCGGACCCCTTGACGGCGTGCGTGTGCTGGACCTGACTTCCATGATTTCCGGACCCGTTGCAACAATGATGTTGGCTGACCAGGGTGCGGACGTCATTAAAGTGGAGGCTTTATCCGGCGACCTGGTGCGCGGTGCGGGCCCGAATCGCAGTGGTATAACCGCAACATTTATATCCTCCAATCGTTCCAAGCGCAGCCTGGCGCTGGATTTGAAAACCCAGGCAGGGGCCAAAATTCTGCGAGAGTTAGTCGCGACAGCAGATGTGTTTGTGCAGAACTTCAGGCCAGGCACCATAGAACGTATGGGGTTTGGTGAAGACTCTGTGCGCGAGATTCGCCCGGACATAATCTATGTGTCAATCAGCGGCTTTGGTGAAAGCGGGCCTTATGCGCATCAGCGTGTGTACGACCCGGTAATCCAGGCGCTCTCCGGGCTGGCTGCTATTCAGGCTGACGGCGAAACCGGGCGGCCGAAGATGATACGCACCATTATTCCGGATAAAACCACTGCGGTGACTGCTGCCCAGGCGATTACAGCAGCGCTGTTTGCGCGGGAGCGTAAAGGCGTGGGACAACATGTTCGACTGGCAATGTTAGATACGATGCTGGCCTATTTATGGCCGGAAGGTATGTCTGGCTACACCCTGGTGGGTAAAGAAGTAAAGGCGGCCCGTGCGCAGCTGTCACCAGACCTGATTTTTGCCACCACAGATGGATACATCACCGCTGGAGCGGTTTCCGATAAAGAATGGCACGGTATGTGTCGCGCCCTGGACAAACCCGAATGGCGGGATGATGAGCGCTTTGCCACTATCAATGCCCGAGCGATGCACGTCACGGAGCGATTGCAGCTCACTGCAGAGGTCATTGCCACCAACAGCTCAGCGTACTGGTTGCAGCACCTGGACGCGGAGGGTGTGCCCTGTGCGCCGGTGTTGAGTCGTGATGATCTCCTCACTCATGAACAGATCCTGGCCAATGATATTCTGCGTGAATATGAGCATCCAACGGCAGGCACCATCCGTCAGCCTCGTCCTGCGGCTCGGTTTGACAAAACACCTGCGCAGATTCGTCGCCATGCGCCTAGTCTGGGCGAACACTCAGAAGAATTGCTGGCTGAGTTAGGCTACAAGACCGATGAAATCGCTGTCATGGTCAAAGAAGGTGTGTTGGGCGTCTCATCAGGGTAGAAAAACTGGCGTCCGTGTGAATATTGGCTAGATTTAATAGAAGTCTCTTAGCTATAAGCCCATGACCACATTGTTTGACGTTCCATTGGATGAATCGGTACAAGTACTGAAGCAGGTGCTGCCTTTGATGAGTAAGCAGCGCGTGCCAACTATTCCGCAGAACTATGCGGTCTGGTACGACTATGTCACTCGGCGCAATGAAGATCTGACTGAAGAGCTTGAAGACCTGATTCATCGAGGTAAAGGCTTCGATGCGGCGTCCTGCCGAACGATATATGAAAAGTATTTTATATCAGAGCTGCAAAGTGAAGTTGATGGTATTCAAGGTGCCGTGCGCGAGGCAGTTGAGTCGGTGCTGGCGGAGCTTGGTGGTCTGGGCGAAGACATCAATCACTTTTCCGAAGTATTGGACAACTGTGGTGTTTCGCTGCAGGAAGACCCGGACAAAGAAGACCTCAATCGCCTGGTGGTGGAACTTGTGCGCGAAACCGCGCGCACCCGTAACCGCAGTAAAGAAGTAGAGGTGTCTCTGCACAATATGGCGTCAGAGCTGACTGAGTTGCGTGCGCAGGTTGATCGTCTCAGCAAGGACTCACGCACAGACGCACTAACTCGAGTTGCCAATCGACGCGCTTTTGACGAATCTCTGAAAAAAATGATCAAAGAGGTGGGCGATACAGGTGCGCCACTGAGCCTCATCCTTTGTGACATAGATCATTTCAAAGCTTTTAATGACTCCCACGGACACATTGTCGGCGACCAGGTGCTGCGCTTTGTCGCGCAGGAAATGGAACAGTGTGTGAAAGGCCGCGACATGCTCGCCAGATATGGCGGTGAAGAGTTTGCCATCCTGTTACCCAACACACCGTTGGATGGTGCCATGATGCTGGCCGACAGTATTCGATCTATTATCGAAGCGCAGCGTATTAAGAATGACAAAGACGAAGAGATCGATAAGGTCACTATCTCTCTTGGTGTTGCCAAATATGTGGCGGGCGAAGAATTAACAGACTTTGTTGAACGCGCTGACGCGTGTCTGTATGCGTCAAAAGCTAATGGTCGAAATCGCATGACTGGCGAGAACGAACTGCCAAAGCATTAAGCTAAGCTTTAGCTTCCCACGGCTGCTTTAGCAGCAAGTATCCTTTAGAATTCTGCCACCTCAATACTTCATCCTTGGTGGGAAAGCGTTTGTTTGTACAATTCCGTCCAGGGAAAGATGTCTGGGCCTATGGTGTGGAGCCTGCAAAGGTGCTCTATCGCTTGCGGCTTGCACGATATCCCGCACTCGCAGAAACGTTAACCGACTGGCTGGCTGACAAAGACCCCGAACAAAAGTTTCGCCTTCTGGATATAGGCGCTGGGTTCGGGCGGACGTTTCTATATGTCAAAGCGGCAGGTATCGCTGAGCGCTTCGAGATGGTAGGTGTAGATATTGACCCGCTGCGCAAAGACGATGTTTATGCCGGCAACCCCTGGGAAATTCGCCAGGGGGATGCCGAGAAGGACCTGGATTTTACCGATAACAGTCTGGACATAGTAGTTTGCGAACAGCTGCTGGAGCATTTAAATCACCCCCAGGTTGTGCTGGACAACGTTCAGCGTGTACTTAAACCGGATGGCCTGTTTATTGTCGGGGTGCCTGTTTTCCCGGAACCCATCGCAAAGCTCAGACGTTGGCAGGTGAAACGGTTCGGGCTTGGCCGATCAGAACACATTCAAACCTATTCGCTGAAGTCTATTCGACGCGATCTTGCGGCGCAGTTTGATGAGGTCGAAATCCGTGGTTTTCGAATTGTGTCTGGCGGTTTGTTGCGCAGGCTGGAGAACCACCACTGGTGGTACCGATTCAACAGAAAACTGGGCGAATGGTTGCCTGGTTTGTGTATCGAAGTGCAGTTGATTGTGAAACCAAAAAAGCCGACAACAGCGGATTAAGTTAGTTTGTTGTTCCCGCGGCTAGCGCACGGCGCTCTGCTGCCCCACCTACCCTGATAAAAAACGGGCCGATACAGGCCACCAGTATCAGTGCAGCTAAGATGAAAAAAGCGCCGTTGTAGGTGCCGGTTGCATCATAAATCAAACCGGCGAGCGGTGAAGCGGAAAGAATAAAGGGCAGTTCCACCCAGCGCAGCACACCAGTGGCCAGCGCAAAAGAAGCGCTGCCGACCGAAGTTGAAACCGCAAATGTACGCAGTGGCGACATCCCCGAATAACCAAAGCCATACATCGCTGCAGCAACCAGACACAGAGCAAATGTATCCGCCTGGGTAAACATCAGCAAAGCCAGTGCCTGGCTGATAAGTGCAATCCAGATAGTGATCCGTGCGCCCAGGAAATCGGACAGAAAACCAACCACCGGTTTGCCGAGGGCTGCAAACAGCGCTGTTGCTGACAACACAAGCGCGGCATTGTCAGTACTCAAACCCAGATCTAACAGGTGGCCAAACAGATGCAACATAACTGCGGTGAACACACAGACCATGGAGCCGAATATTAAGCCGATACTCCAGAATGCGGGCGTCTTCAGTAATCCCTGCCAGGTCCACACGACGCTGTCACTGGGCAGTTCAACGTGTTCATGTTGATGTTTGGCGGTATATGCGTGTCCGTCTCGTACCTCACCAATATCGCCCGGACGATCTTTCATGAAGAAGTAAACAATGGGTAACAGAGTCACCGCAGTAGAGATGGCGAAGATGTTGTATCCCACCCGCCAACCGTAGTTGTCGACCAATGCTGTCACCAGCGGTGGCATCATGATGCCCGCCAGGGACGCGCCCATCACTGCAAAAGCAATGGCTCGGCCGCGCCAGTGGTCAAACCAGAAAATGACAGATCGATGCCAGGCCATGCCACCCATGCAACTCATGCCGATACCAAAACCGAATCCGACGACGAGGTAGAACTGCCACAAAGTCTGGGCGTTGGCGAGAAGAATATAGGATGCGGCAACGATGCCGATGCCGATCATGATCACCAGGCGCGGAGAATTGTGGTCGAGAAATCTGCCCAGAAAAGGAGAAATTATGGCGCCAACAATAGCTGCCCAGGAGAAGCCTAAAGAGATAGCAAAGCGGCTCCCGTCAGACAACGCTTCGGCCAGACTGGGCAGGAAAACACCCCGGGAATAGGAATAGAAGCCGGTGCCGAGAAAGCCCAGTAACATGCAGATCGCAACGATCACCCAACCGTAAAAATACGGCCGTTGGCGCTCACTGGATGTTGGCATTGGCGGCCTCGTTGATATTCCACTCATCAAGATTGCGACCATATTCGATCATGACGTGCTTCTGATACGCAGGGCGTGCACACAATCGCTGATACCAGCTTTCCATATTTGGCAGCTCGGGTCGCTCTATTGGTAGTGTAAAGTAGCGATACGCCATGGCGCCGTTGACAATATCGGCCATGGTGAGCTGATCTCCACAGATGAACCGTCGACCTGTTAACTGCTGATCGAGTTGCGCAAAACACCGTCCGCAGCCTGCAACTTTTTTACTGATCTGTTCTGGTGTTGCCGGTAAACCGCGCACCAGCATCTGGAACAACGGGAAGAATGCGGTGGAAACATCGCTGCGTTGCCATTCCATCCAGATGTCAGCTTCAGTGAGTTCTGCGGATTCGTGCGGCCACAAGGTGCCCTGGCCGTATGTTCTTGCCAGGTAGCGTACGCAGGCATTGGATTCCCAGACCACCAGCTGCTCGTCCTGCAAAGTGGGGACAATGTTATTGGGATTTGGGTAATCAATCGGATAACCGAAAGACCCGCCAACGTCTTTGCGCACGTAGTCCAGTGATAACTCACCCAGAGCCCACATAACCTTCTGCACGTTAGCGGAATTGCGTCGGCCGAGAACGGTTAACATCTTGAACCCCAGGTTGTTTGCGACTGAGTAGCTAGTCTATCTGGGAAGGAAAAATAATGACAAACGTTGTTGGGCCATCTTCGTTGACGATATCCAGTTCAGCGTTGATCTGCCGTAGTAATGCTCGCGCGATGCTCAAACCCAGCCCGGTGCCGCCGGTGTCGCGGCGGGTTGTGAAAAATGGTGTGAATATTTTTGCGCGATTACCTGGTGTAATACCGCTGCCATTGTCTTTAACAAACAGTTTTGTAGTCTGGCTGTCCCACTGGGTAGACAATTCAATTTTGCTGGCGCCATGGGCAATGGCGTTTTCGATCAGGGTTTCCAGGCCGGCATCAATACTGGTTGCATCTCCCCAGACCTGTAAATCTTTATCAACCGCGGCGAGGTTGATGGACACTTTGCCGGTAAAGCGACTGCAGACATCGGCCAATGTGCTGCGCAGCAACACCCGGCTGCGTTTGCGGTCGTTCATTTCGGCGTGAGTCAGTTCACTCAGGCGCTGGGTTAAGCGACCCAGCCGATCAGCATCGGCGCTGACGTTTGTTAGAAAACGCTGCTGCTGGTCGCTGGTCATTGTTTCCGAATGATCCTGCAGCACTTCGATAGCGCCGCGGATACTCGCCAGCGGGGTTTTAAATTCGTGAGAGACGTGGCGGGAAAAATCCTGCAGGTAGGCGGTTCGTTCCTCCAGACGTGCCGCCATATCGGTAATGGCGGCGTGCAGGTTGGCAATTTCTTTTGTGCGGGGGACGTGTTTCTGCAGTCGTTTCTGAGCATCGCTTGCGCTGATTTCCCCACCGGCAATAGCCTGGGCTTCCGCAGCAAGTTTGGAGATGGGCCTGGCGATCATGCGAAACGTCACCCAGGACATAAACACAACCAAGGCCAGAAGCATGGCAAACCCCTGCATCAGCAGCCAGCGTTTGGCGTACAGTGCCTGCACGATGTTGGGTGGTGTTCTTGATAACACGACAGCGCCAATCAATCGTCCGTGCAGAATAATCGGTTGCGCAACAAAAACCCGAACCGTGCTTGTGCGGCTGATTGAATCCAGCGTGGATACTTTAACCAATTCGCTTTTACTGCGCAGGCGACTGATGGCGCGCCCTGCAAGCGCGCCGCGAAGTTCTTCGGTCTGAGCGATGTTTGCTCCGACGTCGGTGCCCGTGCTGGCGATAATAGTACCCCACGGGTCGACGACCCGGATGCCGGCAAGCGTCACCAGCTGCGCATCTTTCAGCACCGGTAACATGCGTTGACCTATCTGTTTAATCAGCGGGCGAGGCGTGATGCCACTAATGCCATCGGGGAAAGGCGGTAGTACTTTTGAGGTGGCGAGGTCCAGCGAGGGTAGATAAGGCACCCAACGATCCTCTTTCTGTGCGTCGCTGAGATCGATTTCACGACTCATCGCCAGCCAGTCCTGCGTACCCTGTTCTGCAACTATGGAGCGGTATAAAGCCGCGACAAATGCGCCCTGAGCAATCAAAGCAGATTCGGTCTGTCTGACCAGAGCGCTTTCGTACAGACGCATCAGTTGAATGCCGGCCAGAGGGAGAATCAGAACCACCAGGTTTACCCCGATCAGGACGCTGCGCAGCGAAATGTTGGGCCAGTGATGTTTCATACAGCCTGGTACAGGAGACGATAGCCAACGCCGTGCACGGTGGCGATGCCTGGTGCGCCAGCGTCCAGGAGTTTGTCCCGCAAGCGTCGGATATGACTGTCAATGGTGCGGCCGCTGACAACCCGACGAACGTCATAAGCGCCCTGCATCAGAGCATCGCGGCTGAACACTTTTTCCGGTCGACCTGCCAGCGTGCGCAGAAGTTGAAACTCCGTGTGGGTCAGATTCAACACAGTGTCCTGCCAGGATGCCTGCAAGGTCTCGGTATCTATATGGTAACCACCGCAGGTGATCACGTGGTGATCTGCATCTGCGGGATCCAACTCTTTTGTTCTTCTCAGGTTCGCTTTCACCCTCGCAACCAGCTCTCGCGGGCTGAAAGGTTTGCCGACATAGTCGTCGGCGCCCATTTCCAGGCCCATGATCCGGTCTACCTCTTCGTCTCTGGACGACAGCAGCAGTATGGGTACTGGCGAAATCTGACGCAGCGCGCGACAGACCTGCAGGCCGTCAAGTTCAGGCATCAGGACATCGAGAATGATCAGGTCAGGCTGGTTTCTTTCGTGTTGGGTGAGGGCGTCGACGCCGTCATTGGCGGTGAGTGTTCGATAGCCCGCCTGCTGTAGAGCAAAACAAACTACTTCACGGATATGGGGGTCGTCGTCGACAACTAAAATGGACTGCATATGAACATTGTACGCAAGCTTTTACCGGCTGTGGCGTACGGTTGACGCGTTTGCACATAATTTGCACAAATCTATGCGGGCTTTGCACATAAATGGGTAGTTTCGACGCGTGGATGGAGCAGCTTGTGCACATGGGTCTGCGATCGTTACAACATGTTAATTGCAGATCGAATAGTCCGTCCGGCAAATAGCTTCTGTTGGACCAACCTTGTCATTTTGGCGGGTGCGCTGGTGTTGGCCTATCAACCGATGATCTGGCTGCTAGGCACCTGGCATAGCGCTGGTTACGACGGTGTTGGATGGATCGCTTTTGCGCTGGTGCTGGCGGTAGGCATCTGGTCTGCAAGTTCGCCATTGATCACTCAGGCTTCTAATGTCGGGCAAACTTATGGCCTGTTGATGGCAACAGCATTGATACGCCTGTTTGCCCAATTGCTTGATATCAATGTGATTGGCGCGCTGCTGCTTGCTGTAGATGTTTACGCGCTGGCCAACCTCAGTCATTTATCTGCTCGGCAGCGCTGTGTGTCTGCCTTCTGGCTGGCAGCGTTGTTCTGTTTCTCTCTGCCCATAGAGCCGATTGTTCAACGCCTGTTAGGTTATGGCTTGCAACAGTTATCCGCGGACCTCGCCTGCTCACTACTATGGCCATTCTTCGATAATCTGGTGTGTTCCGGTGTTCGGCTGCAGATCTCCGGGCGGGACGTGATGGTTGATCTGCCGTGCTCCGGCGCGCAACTGTTGTCTACAGCCCTGCTGGTGACCTGTCTGGTGAACTGTCTGGTACGACCCGCCTGGAGATGGGGTGCTGCCAGTGTCGTTGTGTCGTTGTTTACAGCGCTGATTTTCAACGCGGTTCGCGTTGCGCTGCTGGCCGCGGGTATTGCGCAGGAGGAGGTGCTTGGCTTTTCGATAATGGCGCCATTGCCGCATTCCCTGCTGGGTGTGTTTATGGTGGTGTTAACCAGTGTCGTCATCGTGGCTTTCTCACGGTGCTGCGCTGTCGTGCCCCGGTCTGTGGCAAGGCAATCGCGGCTGACCCAACTACTGATACGCAGACCCGCTTTATTCGCCACCCTGTTTTTAGTCTCCGCGCTGTCTATTGGCGCGATCCAACCGCAACCCGTGGACAAATCCCCATCCCTTCCTCCCCCGGAAATGCCACGGGTTGCGGCTGGATTTTTACGTTCTGAAGCGCCGCTGACGACGCTGGAAAAAACCTACTTCACGCGTTACGGCGGCAGCGCTGCGCGAGCCAGTTACGGTCCTTTCGGGTTGCTGCTGGTGTCCACATCTTCGCCACTGCGCCACCTGCATGACCCAACTATCTGTCTGCGCGCCATGGGCTATGACGTGCAGCTGCAAGGTGTGGACCATGTTCAGGGTGCAACGGTCTACCGTGCTGTTGCTGATAAGCAGATGGGTCATGAAGCCGCTACGGAAAATCAGAGCTATATCGTCAATATCACTTATCGATCTGCGTCCGGGCGACAGGCTTTGAGCATCGCGGAAGTCATCTGGCAGTGGGCCAGGAATCCGCGAGAAACCTGGACCATGGTGCAACGCATAGTGCCTGAACATGAGGCCGTCAGTGCCGCTCAAGTGGCTGACTTTGAAGCCGTGATCAAACGATCGATGTCTCTGTTTCCCTATTCAACAACTACTTCCTAAGGAGCAAGCCATGAGTTTCAGGCTGATTTGTATTTACCTGTGTCTGCATATAACCCTGCCGGTGTATGCCGATGTTGCTGGTTCTGTTGAGGGCCTGCTTGATGAGCCGGGTGGGAGTAGGAAGGTCGCTTTAAGCGCGCTTCACAGCGATTATCAGGTGGAAATTTTTGGCGACGTCGCCAACGTTGTGCTTAAGCAGCGTTTTTATAATCATTTTGAGCGACCTTTAAATGCCCGCTATCTGTTTCCCCTGCAGCGACATGCCGCGGTGCATGCAATGACTATGCGGGTGGGTGATGAGGTCATCGTGGCGCAGATACAGGAAAAGAAAACCGCACAGAAGACATTCCAGGATGCAAAGAGCGCGGGCAAGTCGGCGGCGCTGTTAGAACAGCATCGACCTAACATGTTCACTCAGCAGGTGGCGAACCTGATGCCTGCTCAGACCATCGAAATTGAAATTGCCTATTCGCATATCGTGCCGAAAGTAGATGGCGCTTACGAACTGGTTGTTCCCTTGATAGTGGGTCCTCGTTATCAGCCTGCCGGGGCCGGTGTGGCACCTGAGATTTCAACCGATGAAATCTCGGGTGCTGCCCCTGATGCTGGTCAGTGGGTGCTCGAAGCCCTGCCGGTCCGACCGCCGACCGCCGGTATAGATCTGCCAGCGACCTTTACCTCGGAACGCGTTGCTATGCAGGTTAACCTCGAGGCGGCGGGAACCATTCACGCGCTGCATAGCGATACCCACCCCCTGGCGATACGCGATGTGTCATCGACCCAGGCTGATATCACCCTGCAGGATGGGCAGGTACTGGACAATAAAGATTTTGTGCTGCGCTATCAGCTCGCCGGCGAGGATACGTCCGCTGGCCTGTTATCGCACTGGCAACCTGAGGAGGGGGGCTATTTCAGTCTGCTGATCGAACCACCAGAAACAGTTGCATTAGACCAGGTACTAGCCAGAGAAATGGTGTTTCTGCTCGATTGCTCTGGTTCCATGAATGGTTTGCCCCTTGATGCCAGTAAACGATTCATGAGCCAGGCGCTGCAATCCCTGCGCCCTGAAGACAGTTTTCGAATCATCCGTTTCAGCGATGCAGCTTCAGAATTTTCTCATCGAGCCATGCCTGCCACCCCCAGCAATGTTGCCTATGGCTTGAGTTATGTTCAGAGTCTGCGGGGTTCCGGTGGTACCGAGATGACATCGGGTATCCGCCAGGCGCTGGCCGCGCCGGTCGAGGGAGAGCGGCTGCGTAATGTTGTTTTCCTCACCGATGGATATATAGGCAATGAACACTCTGTGCTGGCGCTGGTGGAACAATTGCGCGGTGATGCCCGTTTGTTCGCTTTTGGTGTTGGCACCGGGGTGAATCGATACCTGCTCGATGAGCTGGGCCGCGTGGGGCGTGGATTCACTCGTTATTTTGATCCGACAAAAGATGCAGAACACATGCACGGTGTGGTGACCAGGCTGGTTGAGCGGCTGCAAACACCGGTGCTGACAGATCTATCGATTGATTGGGGCGATCTGCAGGTTACTGATCTGGTGCCACGTGTGCTGCCGGATCTGTATCTGGGTGACACAATTCGTGTCACCGGACGGTATGCAGCGCCATCATCAGGAACAGTGACAATTGCGGGCCGCAGCCGCCAACACCAGGCACAGGTGCGCACGCCAGTGGTTCTGTCGGAAGTTGCTCAGCGTCCTGCGGTACGCCGGGTCTGGGCGCGCACCAAGTTGGCGGAACTGATGCATGAATTTATCACTCCAATCCCGCTGCGCTCACCTGAGCAGACAAATGATGAATTGCAGGCAGCGGTGACCAACCTTGGTTTGAGTTACGCCCTGGCCAGTCGCTGGACGTCGTTTGTTGCAGTATCACAGAAGATATTCAACACAAATCCCGCAGGCAACCTTGAGGGTGATGTGGCGTTGCCCAGGGTTGCTGGTGTTTCTCAGTTAGCCTATTCGCCTGCACCAATGACAGGCTATGGCGCGCCTGAGCCGGGTCTGGTGATCAGCCTGCTGACGGCTCTAATTGCCGTTGGGGGGCTGAAACTCAGGCGCCGTCGCCGGCAGCAGTTTCACAGTTTGTAGATGCGTTTTGCAGTGCCCTGAAACAGCGCATCCTGTTCGGCTGGGCTATAGCGGCTGGCGATCTTTTTCAAGCCGTTCCAAAGTACGTGGTAGCTGATGGACAGGCGATCTACCGGGAAGTTGGATTCGAACATACAGCGCTCAGGGCCAAAGCACTTGATCGTGTGGTGATAGTAACGTGCCTGGGCGTCGACAAATTCATCAGACGTTGGCGGGGTGGCGCGCTGGTTCCAGCCAAAGCCATTGTCCGGCATGGCCAGGCCTCCCAGTTTGGCAACCACATTGGGACATTTTGCGATTTCGGCAATATCCCGCTGCCACTGTTCAAAAACGGCCTCGCGCTGATCTGCGTAGATGCCGACACCTAACGGGGTGCCAAAGTGGTCCAGGATCATCGTTGTATCCGGCGCAGCTTTTGCCAGCGTGCAGAATGATGGGTTCTGATGATGGTAGTGCCAGGTGTCGTAACTGTAGCCACGTTCACCCAGGCGCTGTACGCCACGAATGAAAGCTTCGTTCTGGTATAAACCCTCCGGGGCGCGTCCGGCAATAGTAAGATCTTCAGGGTGTGGATCTCTGGCACCTGCGTGGCGAATACCGCGAAACAGTCCCTGCGCTGCTTTTTCATGAGCATCTAACACCTCGTCGAGGTGTGGACTATCCAGGTCAGCCTTAGCCACAATCGCTGCTATGGTGGCGCGTGCAGGGTCCTGTTTTGATGCTTGTGCAATTTCAGCCACGTAATTTGTTTCTCCGACGCAGCGCAGGTGCTCTGGTCCCTCACTGAAATAGCTGGAGCCGCATTCCAGGAAAACGGTGTGCGTGATGTTGTGACCGCTGTCGGTGTCACCCCAGAGTTCGCTCAGTTCATAGGTCCAGTTTGGCTGTCGCCAGAGGTGATGATGTGGGTCTACAATGGGCCGTTCCGGCTCAATAATGTCTTCGCTGACTTGTGACAGCCATTGATCAAGTTCAGTCATGTGCTTCTCCCCGGTTTGTCTTTGCCGCCAGAGTCTAGCGCAGCTGGAAGTGTGAAGCAGTTCGCGTGAATCTCTCTCTTCGGCATTCAAGTGTGCGCAGGATAGCAGGCGTTCTGATCACTTTTTGTTATAAAGCAGCGATCGAAACGGGACAGATTGTGTACATGGGATTTACATTGCACTGGCGGGTCAGCTTGGTCTGCCTGCTGGGAATGATATGCGCCTTGCAGATTTCTGCGGCGGAACAGGCAGAAGTGGTCTTTCACCCGGACGGTATTGTGGACCACGATCGGACAACCACCGCGCCTCTGTCTTTTATGCACGGCCCGTTGCAGGTCCGCAATGTCAGTCCAGTGGTTCAGTTGTACGGTATCCCTCGTGTGGTCGGCGCGCGTACTCTGGTGGATACCCTCGAGATGACCCTCAATATCGAAGCTGCAAATAATTTTCAGAGTGACGGACGTGCAGGTACGTTTGTTTTTTTTGATGGTGAATCAGTCCTGTCCAGCCTGCGTATCCGCGGCGGGATCGGTGAACGGTGGGAGTGGGGCGCTGAGCTGCCTTATATCGCCCACACTGGCGGCGCGTTTGATGGTGTGGTGGATGAGTTTCATGAACTTTTTGGTCTGCCGGATGGCGGGCGGTCACTCGCCCCGCGTGGTCGGCTCGACTATCTGGTGCGTTCAGATGGCGTTGTTTATGCCGATTTTTCTGACAGCGTTAAGTCTTATGGCGATGTGCGTGGCTTTGTTGGCCTGCAGCTGATGGACCGACCCGGCCAGGCATTTGCCCTGCGTTCCCAGGTGAAGTTTCCAACCGGTAACGTTGAGGATCTATCGGGCTCGGAAGCCATGGATGTGTCTGTCTGGGGGGAATACGAAATTGATCTGGTTTCTGCGCTGTTAGATGTTCGCCTGACACTTTCCGGCGGCGTAAGCTACCTGGGTGAAGGTAAATTGCTGCCCCGGGCGCAGGTGTCCTGGTTAGGGTTTGGCCACGTGGGCCTGCAGATTCCGTTACATCCACGGATTGAATTTTTAGCCCAGCTTGATGCGCATACCGATGTTATTGAAAGCGGTAATCCGCTGATAGCCGATGGCGGCGTGCTGGGTACCATCGGCGGTCGTTTTGGTCTGACAGAGCGTCTGTGGTTGGACCTTGCCATCATTGAAGATCTGAAAAACGAAAGCGCGTCCGACGTTGTGTTTCAGATTCTTTTGGGTACTCAGTTCTAAGTTGCTTGTTTGCTTTCGTCGCCAAGCGGCGATAACAGAAAGTGTCCATGTCCTGCTGCCACGGGTTTGTCTCTGGACTCCTGCCACAACTCAACACGTACGTTAGCTACGCGACGGCCGCGTCGCGTTACGATGGCGCGACCGTAGGTAGTGGTCGCCCGGGCAGAGCGCAGATAGTCGATGGAGACGTCTATGGTTTTTGGCAGCCGCTCACACTCGGTGTCGTAAATCAGCTGTAGGACGGCGGTCATTTCCAGCATAGCCCCAACTGCGCCACCATGCAGAGCCGGCAAGGTGACGTTGCCAATCAGATGCTCTGAAAAAGGCAGTACCGTGATCACTTCCTGCCCCTGTTGGCTTACCTCAAGCCCGAGAAATTCTGCATAGGGTATCTGTGCCAGTACAGCTGCAAGATCCTGGCCGCGACCCTGGTCGCGTAAGTTCTGCAGAATTTTCATGTGGCCTCCGGCGGGGTGTCGACAAATGGTGTAGCTCGAGTGCCCAGCATGAATGTTGCGGTGCACGTCGCGATGGGATCATCCGGAGAGGTGACAAAAGCGATGGCTCGGACAAAGGCGATATTAGTTGTGCGCTTAAAACAGTGCGCGCGCGCGTGTACATCCAGGCCGGGTTTGGCAGAACCCATATAATCAATGCGTAGATCGAGGGTGGCGATGGCCGCCTGTTCAGGCGGCATTTCAGGGGGGCGGGCGACCATGCCTGCTGCATTGTCGAGCAGGGCAGTGATGGCACCGCCATGAATAACGCCCCGGTCCGGGTCACCCACAAGATGCTCGCTGTAGCGGATTAACAGCTCACATTCGTCAACCCCCTTGGAGACAAATTCCATGCCCAGGGCGCCCGAATGTGGAATGTTGAGCATGTGCTCATGGGCCTCTTCAGCCATCGTATTGTCTGGCAAAATACATCCTTAGCCCATGATAAGCTTGGGCAGCAAAATAATAGAAACTGGGAGAATTCTACAATGGCCATGCAACATACGCCTTTATTGATGCACACAATTTTAGACCGTGGCGCAAAGGTTGCTCCAAATGAAGAGATTGTGACAGCAACGCAGAACGGTGTTCGCCGGCAAACCTATCTTGAAACCCGTAATCGTGCCCATCAGTTAGCGCATGCTCTGCACGACGCAGGTATCCAGGTTGGAGATCGTGTTGGCACGTTCATGTGGAATGGCTCCCGCCATCTTGAGGCTTACCATGCGTGCGCGGGCATGGGTGCGGTGCTGCATACCCTCAACATCCGTCTGTCGGATAAAGACCTTGAATACATCATCGATCATGCCCAGGACCGAATCATTATTGCCGATGCAGATGCCCTGCCTTTACTGGAAGTGCTGAAAGATCGTATGCCTTCAGTTGAACGGGTGGTTGTAGCTACTGAAGAGGGCTTTGAGGGCTGGCAGACAGACTTGCCCAACCCGGTTGACTACGAAGACTTCATTGCCGGCAAGCCGACAGATTATGATTGGCCCAGCATCGACGAAAATTCTCCGCTGGGCCTGTGTTACACCAGTGGAACCACCGGTCATCCGAAAGGTGTTGAGTACGAACACCGCTCGCAATACCTGCACACCATGGCCCAGTGTATGACTGACTCAATGAATCTGTCGGCCACCGATGCGTTGTTAGGCATTGTACCGATGTTCCACGCCATGGGCTGGGGGTTACCCTGGTCCGCCCTCATGTTGGGCTGCAAACAGGTCATGCCACACCGCTTCATGGACCCTAAACGTCTTTTAGAATTGATCGAATCGGAAGGCGTTACGGTTTCTGCGGGTGTGCCTACCATCTGGCAGGGCATCAAAGGGCTTTATCAAGGCAGTCCAGGCAAGTACGACTTGTCTAATCTTTCCCGTTTGACCTGTGGCGGCAGCGCGCCGCCGCCGTCGCTGATTCGCTGGTATTGGGATGAGCTGGGTGTGGAGATGATTCAGGGTTGGGGAATGACTGAAACTTCACCTCTGGCTACCTTGTCACGGCGGGTTATGAAAAGGTCTCAATTATCCATAAGCGAAGATCAGCAGTTTGCAAACGTCGCTAAAGCGGGTCAGCTGATGCCTGGAATTGAGCTGGAAATATTTGATGAAGCGTTCAATCCGCTGCCGCACGATGGCGAAACCGTGGGTGAGATTCTGATTCGCGGCCCATGGATCTGCTCGGAATATTACAACAACCCACAGCCGGAAAAATTCCATGATGGTTGGTTGATCACCGGCGACGTGGGCAAGATAGATCCAGAGGAATATCTGATCATCAGCGATCGCTCTAAAGATCTGGTGAAGAGTGGCGGTGAATGGATATCCTCAGTTGATCTGGAAAACCATATTGTTGCTCTGGACGGTATTGCCCAGGCCTGCGTGGTTGCGCAGCCTCATCCTAAATGGGATGAACGCCCCGTGGCATTGGTGATTCTTGAGCCTGGCAAAGAGGTGAGTGTTGAAACTGTGCTCGCACATTGTGCAACTGCATTTGCCAAGTGGCAGCTGCCGGATGATGTCCTGTTTGTAGATTCAATCCCGCTGACATCAACCGGTAAAATGGACAAGAAAATCGTCCGTGCAGACCTCGACGCTCAGGGTTATCAATTGCCCGACCTGCGCAACGAGTCCGCGGGGTAGTTTCGACACACCTGCCTCGGACATCGTCTGTTGCAATTAAGTGCTGCAAGCCGCTGGGTTATCAGCGCCACCCTGGTTATGGCCAGTGCTATGGGCATTGGCCGTTTTGCCTATACGCCATTGTTGCCGGAAATGGTGGCGCAATATAACTGGAGTTTTGCAACGGCAGGAGATCTGGCCAGCGCTAATTTTATAGGTTATCTGGTAGGTGCCTTGCTTGCGCCAGCCATCACCCAGTCGCCGTATATCCGCATCTGGCTCGCAGCTTCACTGATGGCAAGTGCAGCCACTACGTACCTTGGTGCTGAAGCAAACAGCTTCAATCTGTGGTTGGCAGTGAGATTTTTAAGCGGTGTGGCGAGTGCTTTCTGTCTGGTGGCCGTTACCACACACCTTATGTTTGTACTTGCTAAAGAGCGCCAGGAAAGATTTGGTAACGTGCACTTTGCGGGCGTCGGTTTAGGCATACTGATCTGTATGCTGGCAGTTTACGGCGGCGGTGACGTCAGTACCCAGTGGGCTCGTTTGGGTGCCTTGTCTGCAGGTCTGATGGCGGTTGCCTGGTTTCTGATTGGTAAACATCAGTTTCAACCGATACCTGTTGTGTCCCGGCAGAGCATTGATTCGGGCTTTGACTGGACTCTGTGGCGGCTGATTATCGGCTACGGTTTTTTTGGCTTTGGTTATGTGGTGGCGGCAACTTTTGTCGTGGCTATGGCCCAGCGACTCGATACCCCCGGTGTGGACGTTCGCAGTGTCTGGACCGTGGTTGGTTTGGCCTTTGTACCATCGGTTTACCTCTGGCAATGGGTTGCCAATCGATTTGGTCTTTTGAACACTCTTAAACTGGCTTATCTGGTAGAAGCAGTGGGTGTTGTCCTGGCCGGCATCAGCGGCAGTTATGCCGGATTGTTGCTGGCGTGTGTGTTGCTGGGAGGCACGTTTGGCGCCATCACTGCATTGGGTTTGAGTGCAGCTCGGACAGCGGCGCCGAACAGAGTTGCGTTTGCCGTCAGTTCCATGACGGTGGCTTTTTCACTTGGCCAGCTGATAGGTCCTGCTGTATCTGGGCGTATGGCGGATGCCAGTGGAGACTTTGTTATGGCCAGCCTGCTGGCGGCAGTGCTGCTGGTTGCCGCCGCTGGGCTGGTACGCCCGGGGAAAGCAGCGGTAACCTGAATCACTGCGCAGCACCCAGTACCAGGTCAGGTCTATTTGATGAATCTCAACGTCAGCGGATATCGGTATGCTTCACCGTCGTTGGCTTTGATCGCGGCGATCACCACAAGAATCAGCGCACCCAGACCAATCACAAAAATCATTAGAAAACCGATCAGAATTAACGTCAGAAGAGCCGAGATCAGCATGGCAATAGATACGGTAATCTGAAAGTTAACGGACTCTTTACCCTGATCATCGATGAGCTGGCCATCTTCTTTTTTCAATTGCCAGACCAGCAGCGGTCCAATGATATTGCCAAACGGGATAACGTAGCCGGCTACTGCGGCGATATGCGTAGCTGCCGCCCATCGTCTTGTTTCAATGTCGGAGTTACCGGGGTTTGGGTTTAATTCGCTCATTTGCTGTTCCTGGCTTACTTGTCGGAAGTGCTTTTATTGCTGCTTTTGCCTGCTTTATTCGCCGTGTTCATGACATTTGAAAATGCCTGCCAGGGCCCCATAGCGTTTTTGAACATACCCTGTATGAATTCGTCGCGTTGTTCAGCCGAAGACTGTAGTCGTTGGGTGAATTGTTCGATCATACCTTGCTGCAATTCGTGTACGTCCGGTAAACCCATGAATCGTCTGAGCTCTTCCGGTGTGATGTCTACTTCAACATTAATTTTCATATTCCTTTCCCCTTTGTCTGCGGCTTCAGTATTGGAGCATAACCGATCTTCGAAAATTTCGTATGCGCTGGAAAAATACCGGTTAGATTAAAACCTTTCTACTCTGATCTGCTCGACCAGCTGCTGCGCATCCTGTGGGCGTTTATGTTTCACCAGATCTGCGGCCAATGCGCCCAGGCCGGGTGAGGTTTGAATGCCAAAACCACCCTGGCCCGCCAGCCAGAAGAATTCAGGGTGTTTTGAGTCAAAGCCAACTGCTGGGAATCTGTCCGGTGTGAAAGTACGTAACCCCGCCCAGCTGTGCATAACGGTCTTCACGTCAAAGTCGGCGACCTGGGTAAATGTATCCATGGCTTGTGCGATATCGATGTCATGAGCATAGGCGTCCATTGCAGGGCTGGGTGTTTCATCTTGAGGGCAGACCATCAGGCCAGGGCTTTCCGGTTTGAAATAGAGGTTCTCTTTTATAGTGTGAAGTAGCGGCCAGTCTCTACAGTTTTCGGGGGCTGGAACAATTGCCGCGGTTCTGCGCAGAGGTGTCAGGGGTAAAGTATCAACCTGAGCAAGCTCTGCAACATGGTTTGACCAGGCGCCAGCGGCATTGATCAGAATGGGTGCTTTAATCTGCTTGTCAGCGCAATGGATATGCCACTGATTCGCAACCCGTTCGATCTGATCGGTGCGAAAGTCCGTTATTACTGTGCCGCCGCGTTGTTTGATACCGCGTTGATAACCCTGTAACAGAGCGTGCACATCTATGTTATGCCAGCTGGCGTCGTATGCTGCGGCACTGACCCAGTCTGAGCGCAGAATAGGAATGATGTCCCGGGCCTGTGCGGTGCTGATACTGTCCAGTTCCGGGCAGTGTGCCTGCCAGGTTTTTAGATAGTTTTCGAGCTCGGCTTCCTCACCCGGTCCTGCTACGGTCAAGCCGCCGGCCGGAGTGACCAGGGCCGTCTCACTGAACCCGGATGGGGGTGTAAAAAAGAACGTTTTGCCGCGCTGAGTCAGTTGGCGTACCACCTGGTTTTCGTAGCCTTCAATGTACATCGCAGCGGAACGGCCGGAGCTGTGATAAGCCGGCTGTGACTCTGCTTCAAGGACAACTACCCGGGCATCTTCGCTGAGAAAGTAAGCCACAGACAATCCAGCGGCCCCGGCCCCAATGATTGCAATGTCGTAGTCTGTGCTCTGGCTCATTGTTAGACTCTTTAATGCTTTAACTAATGGTACCTGCCATGTTTGATGACAGCCACGTAACCGCGAACGAAATTTCTACACAAGACTGGTACGCCCTGTCTGTCCCGCCACGCCACGCGGCTGACCCGTTTGCATGTCCCTGTTGTGCGAATGTGTTCAGTGAGTTGCTCGCCCAGACCGGCGTTGATCTTGCTGATCAGGCTAAGCACCTGACGCCACGCACCACGGCGCTGGAAAATTCTGTGTTTGTCACCCAGGCGAAAATTCAGACCATGAATCCAGATCAACCCACAGCTGACGCCATGTGGGTGGTCGACGGCAGGATACGCTGGGTGGGCGAGGAACAGGACGCGCCTGTGGAAGCTCTGGCGGAACATAAGGTTGCTGCAGGTAACAGAACCATATTGCCCGGGTTCATCGACCCGCATATGCATCTCGCGCCTTTGGCGATGTTGCACAGTTTTGAAAATCTGGGCCCATTTAGATTTCCGCGCACGAAAGATGCTTTAGCTTACCTTAAGCAGAAAAGTGCGGACGTACCGGCAGGGCAGTGGCTGGTTGGACGGCAATTTGACCCCTCGCTGCAGGAAGGACCGGACTATCTGACGATAGACCTGCTTGATGAGGTCAGCGTTGAGCACCCGATTTTTATCTATAACGCTTCGCTGCATCTGGCTTACTGTAATTCTGCCGCGCTGCAATTAGCTGGCGTGACGGCGGATACACCGGATCCTGCTGGTGCTGAAATTGGCCGCGATGACAACGGTCAGCCTAATGGGGTGCTCAAGGCAGGTCCTGCTATGGCACTGGTGGCGCGTCACAATCCGCACACAAAAACAGCTGATCTGGCGCAAGCGTGCCTGGATGTATTTGCCCACGCCAACACGCTTGGCATCACAGGTTTGTGTGATCAGGGCACCGGCCTTTTTCAGGGCGCTAAAGAACTGGATCTGTATCAGGGTTTGCGTGACAGCAACCGCATGACGGTTCGCTTCCGCTATTCGTTGGCCCAAGCTGTTGCTGATCGCTGGGACGAAGCCGGTTGTCGCTGGGGGGAAGGGGACGAATGGGTGCGTAATACAGGCTGGAAGATTGTCAGCGATGGATCAAACCAGGGGCGTACGGGTTTGCAGCGCGAGCCTTTCCTGAACTCCGATGAAACCGGTATTGCCTACATAGAGCGCGAAGAATTGTTTGCCGCCGTTGAGCAGCGCCTGGCTGATGGTTGGGCGGTATGCGTGCACGCCAATGGTGATGCCGCTATCGATAACGTTCTTGATGCCTTCGAGGCGGCGGCCGCCAAAGGTTTGCGCGCAGATTCGCAACGCTGTCGGATCGAACATTGCAGTATCCTGCATGATGAACAGATTGAACGCATGGCGGCACTCGGGTTATCTCCCAGTTTTCTGATTGGCCATGTTTATTACTGGGGGCAGGCATTTGTGCAGGATGTATTTGGCATCGATAAAGCATCGTTACTTGATCGTACCGGTACCTGTGAAGCTAAAGGCATTCGCTGGACCATTCACTCGGATGATCCCGTCACAGAGATGAATCCGCTGCGCTGTATCGAGAACGCGGTGACCCGCAATATGTGGAAGTCAGAAGCAAAGCTGTCTCCCCAGGAGTGTATATCTACCGCGGCTGCGCTGCGCGCGATGACCATTGATGCCGCCTGGCAGTGTCACAGCGATCATGAAGTGGGCAGTCTTGAGGCCGGCAAGTTCGCTGATTTTATTGTGCTTGAACAGGATCCATTACAGGTTGAGCCTGATGCGCTGAGCAGCATTGCCATATTACAAACCTGGGTGAATGGTGAATTAGTCTATGCGGCCAGTTAAACTTCCCGGCTCAGATTTTTAAACAGGGAGAGGGCAGATGCCGTTCAAAAACAGAATTACCGAGATGCTCGGGGTAGAGATTCCACTGGTGCAGGCGCCCATGGGTTGGATTGCACGCTCCCAGCTCGCTTCCGCCGTTTCCAATGCCGGTGCGCTAGGCATTATTGAGACTTCCTCCGGTGAACTTGACGCTGTGCGAGAAGAAATTCTCAAGATGCGGGATCTCACAGATAAACCCTTTGGCGTCAACATCGCTCAGGCATTTGTTCGCGATCCGAACATTGTCCAGTTTGTGATTGATCAGGGGGTTAAATTTGTCACAACGTCAGCGGGCAACCCTGAGCGTTATACCAAAGAGTTGAAAGATGCCGGTCTTACGGTTTTCCATGTCGTGCCCAGTCTTGATGCCGCGCTCAAAGCGGTGGATGCGGGCGTTGACGGGCTTGTTGTAGAAGGCAGCGAAGGGGGTGGTTTCAAAAACCCACGTGATGTTTCAACTATGGTCCTGTTGCCCTTGATACGTTCAAAAGTTGATGTGCCGATCATTGCAGCAGGCGGTTTTCTGGACGGCGCGTCAATGGTTGCAGCCTTTGCACTGGGCGCTGAAGGCATACAGATGGGCACGCGGATGGTGTCTGCGGCCGAGTCACCGGTCCATGACAACTGGAAGAATGCGATTGTGAATGCAAAAGAAACCGACACGGTTTTCCTGAATCGTGCCCACTCACCCGCTTTACGTGCACTGCGAACAGAAAAAACCACGCGGCTGGAATTTCAAAATGAAACCAACGCCATGACCGAATTTGGCAAAGCCACGGACCTGTATTTTGGTGGTGACATGGAATCCAGTATCGCTCTGACCGGCCAGGTTGCCGGCCGAATTGACAGCGTACGCCCGGTTGCTGAAGTGATTGCCGAGGTTAAGCAGCAGTTTTTTGCGTGCCTGGAGCAGATGTCCAAGCAGTATTCCTAAAGACGCAAATGCGAGTTCAGGGTGTTGTGAATGCCTGAACTCTGGCCAACGCGTTGTTGCGGATATTCATGTGGAAGAAGCTGAAATCATAGACATGGTAGTTCCCCTCGCCAAACATCTCGCTAGAGTAATTCTCTGATTTCACGTCGGTGACGTGTAGCAGCCCATTCACGCATTGTGCATCCGCTATGCCAGGCTCAACCTCGCCGTTGGCTGCAAAGCTTACAGCCCCCTGATTTTCACTGAAATCCGCATATTCACCGCTGGCTGACCAGTTGAGTGGATTGACGCAGATTGACTCGCTGGTGTCGGAAAAGGTAGGCGCGTCCGGTGCTACGGAATTCCAGGTGACCTGACAACCTGTCTGAGTGGCATATTCGCACACAGGTATGCTGTCTTTGCCATCAAAGAAAAAACCAATCGGATATGCAGCGACAAGTTGTTCCATGAGCGGTGTGCCGTTTATTTCTTTAAGCAGGGTGTCCGCATGTTTGCCGCCCTGGCTGTGTCCGGCGATTATAAACGGTCGGCCGTTGTTGTAGTTCTGCAGGTAGTACTCGAAAGCGTTACGCACGTCTGTATAGGCAAAATCGATGGCGGCGTCGCCGTCATCACCATCATCCATAAACGCGTACAACGTTGCCTGCCGATAGCGAGGGGCATAAATTCTGCAACAGCTGTTGAACACGCTTGCCTGATTGCGCAAGACCTGTATGTCGGTAAATGTGTTTGCGTCGACATCGTCCAGCGGCTGATTCCAGTAGTCGGGTTTGTAGTAGGTGGTTGGATGAATGAAAAATACATCAACCGCTGCAGCACCCTGGTTGTCCAGGTCAAAGCCTACCGGCGACACATCAGCGTCGTCACTACGCTCTGGCAGTGCTGCCCAGTGCAACCCCTGAGTATAGTCGGGTGCGGTATGTCGAGTATCCTCAGAAAAGCTCTGGTCCGGTTCGAGCGCCATGCGCATCAGGCCAAACCCTACTTCATCCCTGAACATATAAAACAAAACCGCTAACACGGCCAGCAGGCCTGCAATACCTATGAGAATTTTCTTCATTGTCAGCTCCGATGATGATGCGACAGGATTCAGAGTCGAATTCTGACCTGTGCTTCGATTTCCACGGGTACGCCAAAAGGTAATTCAGCCATGCCGACGGCCGAGCGGGTATGTGCGCCTACGTCTGGACCAAATACTTCCAGGATCAGGTCGGAGCAGCCATTAATCACGGGAGGTATGGTTTTAAAACCAGGCGCAACGTTGACCATGCCAAAAACTTTCAGCCAGGCTTCGACTCTGTCCAGGCTGCCTACTGCGGCTACGATGCTCGCGAATAACCCTAAGGTGACTTTGCGAGCGGCTTCATATGCCTGTTCAGGACTGACTTCTGCACCTACTTTACCCAGTACCTTGGCCATACTGCCGTCAGCCTCGGTAGGCACATGGCCGGAAAGATAAAGTATCTGGCCGTCCAGTCGGTATAAATCGAAAGGCAAGCTGGCTGTTTGCATGGGCGCTGGCAGCTGCAGGCCCAAGTCGCTGAATCTGTCGTCGATACTCACAAGTGCGGGCTCCTGGTTAACGTGGCATAAGTCACAGCTAGCCTAAAGCCAGCGGCACACAGATGCCAGCTGTGGACTGGTTCACATTTTACGGAAATGTCGCGATTAGACTCTACTGCGAAAATTATTCGATGCTTCGCGCAGGGTGAGAAAATGAATTACGTAAAACCATTGGTTACAACAGTTCTGGCGCTGAGCCTGGCTACTGCAGGCGCCGCTCAAGCGGATACTTTGTTCGGCGTTTATGCCGGCGCAGGCACCTGGCAGCAGAGTTATAGCGGCGATGTCCGTTCAGGTGTTTCAGACGTGGACATCGAGGATGATCTGGGTCTCGACGACGACGACAGCGTTGTCCTGTACGCTGCTTTGGAGCACGGCGTACCATTGTTGCCTAACGTCCGGGCGCAGTATTACACGCTGGATGTAGACGCGGACAGCGTGTTGTCGCGAACCATTGAGTTCAATGGCGAAGTCTTCGGCTTGTCTGAGAGTGTCAGTACGTTGATTGATTTAACCCAGACCGATGCGGTGCTGTATTACGAACTGCTTGATAACGTTGTGTCGTTAGATTTGGGTCTGGCGATTAGTCTGGTGGAAGGATCCATCGAGGTGGCGAGCCTATCCGAGCGAGCAAGTGCCGATTTTGATGAGGTTGTACCCATGCTTTACGCCGCGGTTCGGGCCGACCTGCCGTTTACCGGCGTTTGGGTAGGTGCGCAGGCTCAAGGCATCAGCTATGACGACAATACGCTGATCGGCTTCGACGCAAAAATAGCTTATGAGTCCAGCGTAGGTCTTGGTGTCGAAGTTGGCTATCGGGCCGTTCAGGTCGAGTTAGATGCATTCGACGAAGTTGACCTGGCGGAGATCGATGTAAATGGGCCATATGCTGCGATCAACTTCCACTTCTAATCGCTGACGGTTAGTCATTTTCGGGCATAATGGCGACCATGAATATGGTCGCCGAAAAACCTCAGGCAGTTATTGATCAACTGCGCTCCCTTCTCCCTGATGAAGGGCTCATTACCGATGCGGCCGGAATGAAACCCTACGAGTGTGACGGTCTCACAGCTATTCGAGAAGAACCCTGGGTGGTTGCGTTGCCTGAAACGGAAGCCCAGGTGCAGAAGATTCTGCAGATATGCCACGCACACAGTGTGCCGGTTGTGCCACGTGGTGCAGGTACCGGTTTGTCCGGTGGTGCTCGACCGATGACAACCGGTGTTGTGCTGGGTTTGTCAAAGATGAACAGGATTCTCGATATAGACCCGCACAACTGTATTGCCCGCCTGCAGCCTGGGGTGCGAAATCTGGCCATAAGCCAGGCGGCGGAAGTGCATGGTTTGTATTACGCGCCAGACCCTTCCTCACAAATTGCCTGCAGTATCGGTGGGAACGTAGCCGAGAATTCTGGCGGCGTGCATTGTTTGAAATATGGTCTGACAGTGCACAATCTGCGCGGCGTCAGAGTGGTGACCATGACGGGTGAAGTGCTCGAGCTGGGTGGTCCACTGCTGGATAACCCTGGGTTAGATCTGTTAGCGGTGATGTGCGGGTCTGAAGGTATGCTGGGTATTGTCACCGAAGTTACCGTCGCTCTGTTGCCTAAGCCGCCAGCGGTGGTGGTGATGCTCGCCGCGTTTGACGCTGTGAATAAAGCTGGCCAGGCGGTTGCTGACATTATCTCTAATGGCATCATTCCCGCAGGCATGGAAATGATGGATCAACTCGCGGTCCGGGCGGCAGAACAATTTGCGCAGGCCGGCTACCCGCAAGATGCGGCTGCGATTCTGATCATCGAGTTGGATGGTGCAGGCGTAGAGATCGACAGCCTTGCGGGCATGGTGTCGCGCATTGTGGAAAATGCCGGCGCAACGAGTGTGGATATTGCGACGGACCCTGCGGCCCAGGCGCGATTGTGGAAAGGGCGGAAATCGGCGTTTCCTGCGGTGGGTCGTCTTGCCCCGGATTACTACTGTATGGATGGCACCATTCCGCGTCACCGCCTGTCCGAAGTGCTGGACAAAATTAACCAGCTTTCGTCACAGTACAATTTGCCGGTAGCCAATGTTTTTCATGCGGGAGATGGGAACCTCCACCCGTTGATACTTTTTGATTCCAATGTACCGGGGCAGCTTGCCGCAACTGAAGAGATGGGTGGGAAAATCCTTGAGTTATGCGTCGCCGTGGGTGGCACGGTGACCGGCGAACATGGGGTTGGTGTCGAGAAGCTCAATCAGATGTGCGTTCAGTTCAACAGCATGGAAATAGAACAGTTTCTGCGCCTGAAATTTGCATGGGACCCGGATAACCTTCTGAATCCAGACAAAGGCATACCTACGCTCACTCGCTGTGGCGAGCTGGGGGGGATGCATGTACGGCATGGTGAACTGCCGTTTCCCGAGCTTGAACGTTTTTGATGGATATCGGTCACCGCTTTGTTGAAGCTGTTCAAACCGCAGAAGTTGAACATACGCGGTTAAGGGTTGCCGGTGACGGGAGTAAGCGTCAATGGCTACCTGCCGGCGACGGTCAATTGCTGGCCACGACAGAACATCAGGGCGTGGTTGCTTATGACCCTGCTGAACTGGTACTCACGGCAAGATGCGGCACACCCATAAAAGAAATCACTTCCGTGCTGGCGCAGCACAATCAACATCTGGCGTTCGAGCCGCCGCAGTTTTTCGCTTCTGGCACAGTTGGAGGCATGGTTGCTGCTGGGCTATCGGGTCCGGCTCGACCCTGGGGCGGCTCCACACGGGATGCCGTGCTTGGTATCAAGCTGTGTAACGGCTTAGGTGAAATCCTGGATTTTGGCGGTCGCGTTATGAAAAACGTGGCAGGCTATGATGTATCGCGTCTCGCAGCGGGTTCCTGGGGAACTCTGGGGATCCTCCTGGAGGTGAGTTTGCGGGTGCAGCCGATGGTGCAATCCACTGCGACCCTGTCATTTGAGATGGATGCCAGCGCGGCAAATAAATATTGTCGGGAGCTGGCGTGTAGTTACTCGCCGCTCAATGGCACCTGGTGGAATAGAAACCAGCTTTTTCTGCGACTGTCGGGGTCATCACAGGCCGTTGAGCAGCAAATTACAGACCTGGGTGGCAGTCGAAGCCATTCAGATCAGATCTGGAAACAGATCTGTCATCATGATCATGAGTTTTTTAAACCTACCTATAGCGGTGGTCCTGATCGAACCGCTCAGAAACTCTGGCGAGTGATCACGCCGCCAGCCGCTCCGCTACCGGAATACTTTGACGCTGACAATTTTGCGATGGAATGGGCAGGTGGCCAGCGCTGGTGGTGGCATGAAGACGAGTCCATAGTGCGGGCCTATGCCAAGGCAGTGGGTGGTTGGGCACATGCAAAAGGTGAGCAGCAGAGTATAGATATGCTGCCCGGGAAGTACATGCTGGCGATCAAGCAGGCGTTTGATCCGCATGGATTGTTTTTGTCGCCGATAGAAAACGGGATTGATCATGCAGACTAATTTGCCTGCACAGCTGTTGGCAACAGATGACGGTCAGCGCGCCAACGAAATTCTGCGCAGCTGTGTTCATTGTGGTTTCTGCAACGCAACCTGCCCAACTTATCAGATCACCGGTGATGAACTGGATGGTCCGCGTGGACGCATCTATCTGATGCGGGAGCTACTCGAAACAGGTGAAAATGAAGAACGTACCACCTTCCACCTTGACCGTTGTCTGACCTGTCGAGCGTGTGAAACCACCTGTCCGTCAGGGGTTGCCTACGGCGAGCTGGCGGAAATCACCAGAAACAACCTGGGCGTAAAACGTAGTGGTCTGCCCGGGCGCACGCGACAATTTTTGCAGTGGTTGATTCCGGATGCCGGCAGATTGCGGCGCATGGCCCGATTAGGTCGGATTTTCCGCTTTCTGGTGCCGAAGAATCTGGCGAAAAATATGCCGGCGAAAGTGGGTAAGCCGTTTCGTACGCCAAAATCCCCTGCTAACGAAAATGCGCTCAGCGTGGTTCTGCTGAACGGGTGTGCCCAACAAGTCAGTACACCACAGACCAACGTGGCGCTCGCCCAGTTGCTGCAGGCACATGGTGTGAACGTTTCCGCTGCGCCCAAAGAAGGTTGTTGTGGGTCGCTGGATTTACATCTGGGTGATGAAGCGCAGGCCCTGAATCGTATCCGGCACAATGTTGATGTGTTGTATGAACTAACCGAATCGGCGGATGCCATTATTTCCAGTGCGTCTGGCTGTGGTGTAACGTTTAAAGACTATGGTCGCCTGCTGGCGCATGATTCAACCTACGCTGCGCGCGCGTCGTCAGTTGCTGCGAAAGTGCGTGACGTCAGTGAGTTTCTGGACGGCCTGGATGTGAGCTGGAGCAAGGCGCGATCAATAGATCGGGTGGCCTGGCATTCACCTT